GGTCAAGCCACGCTCGAGAATTCCCTACGTACCCTCGTCGACAACGCCATGATCCGCCAATCCTTGAAGCGACGGACGACGAGCAATGCGATGCGTGAGGCGATCCGCCGTGATGTTGAGCCCAAGGGCGTCGCTCGTGGCCTGCAGAGCTGGTGCGACCTTGTCAGACACAATACCCTGATCGGTCAACTCGACCAAGGAAGGGCGCTTCGTCAACAAGGTAGACACATGGTCTGCACTCATCGGACGTTGTAGCTGCTTGGCTGTAGATTGGATTGTCGGAGCAATGGTGAGGGAATGGAGAATCGCCTGCTCATGTAAATCCTTGGCATCCGACAACCGGCGTTCAATCTTAGGGGCCAGAGTCTGCACCTTGTTGTGGCCGACGTCATCGTTGTCATGAGGCGACAAAGTGTCAGCGTGGGCCTCTTTGGGAATGTCTTGCGTCGATGGTGGCGACGAATGCGAAGCACTTGAACCTTTGGTGGTCGAGATCGGGGTCGTGGGAAAGCTGCTGCATTTCTGTTGTGTGGCCGGAGATTCATCAGGCGTGGACTTGGAATCCGCGGTTGCGGTGGGCGACGTTGCGGTATTCCCCATCTTCGACTTGGACAGGGAGGAATCGGCAGCAGAGGCGGCGTGTTGCTTTGCTTGTTTTCCTTTCTTCGCCATGCCGCTGCTGTCAACGGTTTGACGGTATTTTCAGATCCGACTTGGCAGCCCCAGATACCGAAACGATGCGTTTCACATCCGGACACGTCAGTCTTTTTCATAAAATTCGCAAATTTTTGTCATTCTTGTGTATCATTTATTGGTCCATATTTTCGATCCTGCCAATACCGAACACGAGATTTTGAGCTTTTTCAATCATTTTGTTGTGACACCTAGTACACTTGCGATGTCACAAGTTGTTAGTTTGGTCCAGCTTCCAGAGCCTCGATGTGCCGCAGCACAGCTTCCAACGCTTTGACGTCGGCATTATCTGAAAAGTCGACTTGAGCTTTCTTGTGCACACCACGGAGGTACATGCGGCATGCATGTAACGATGCCTTCGTTCCGTCTTCGATGTACGTGTCGGACAAACGCTTTGCAGCCCGACAGAGCAGTTCGACGTCTTGTTGGTTGGTTTCCCAGCCGGCTTTTTGCAAGGCACGGCACTCTTTCAGTCGGCACTCGAGCGCCTTGGCTTTGTTTCCACAGCCATCTTGAAAGTGGGCATACACCTGCCACACCTTGGCGTTGTTGGTCACGATGGACGTGGTGCGGCCAAGGAGTTTCGCCAGTTGCTTCTTGTAGTTTGAGTCGGACGCGACCGGCGGTGAATGGGTGACTACGACATCATCATCGTCGTCGTCGTCCTATTCAAGTTTGCGTCAAGGCGATGTCAAAGGCCAGTGTGCTTTACCATGGGGTACACGGTGTTCATGTCGATGGTGGCTGTTTCGTCCTCGGCACCGTCAGCTTCTGCTTGAGCTTCGGGGTACACAATGGCTTGGACGAGCCACGCCAGCATCTCGTGATCGACAGGACGCTTGTGCTTGTCACGGAGGTCGAGGAGCTGATGCATGGCGTACATGGCATCGCCATATTTCTGCACTTCCATCGCACAAAGCAAGAAATTTTCCCACATTTGCCAAAGCGACCGACGTTGCTTGAGTGCTTCTTGAAACGCGTTGAATGCTTCGTTGTGGTGGCGCAGTCGCAGGTGAATTGAGCCGAGGTTACCCCACGCTTCGCCGTCATCTGGCGACAGCTGGACCACATGTGTGAACGACTGAATGGCCATGGGCCAGTCCTGGGTGCGCATCGAAAGCGACCCGAGGAAGAACCACGCTTGGGTGTACATGGGCTGGACGTGCACTGCATCTTTGAAGTGAGCAATCGCTTCGTGGATTTTGCCTTGTTCAAACATTTTGCGACCCCATGTCCGCTTGGCTCGGGCAAAGCGGTGTTTCGACACTTCCCACGACGTTTCGTAGTGCGAGACGTCGTCGGTCAGGTCGCCCAAGCAGCACCACATGAGCGGTGTTGGCGCAATTTCGAGGCGTTGGCGCACAAGGGCTTCCGCGCGCTTTGGTTGGTCGAGGAGTTGGTAGCACTGCACAATCTCGTCCCACATATCTAGCTCTTGAAATATTCCAAGGGCGCTGGCGTACACACCACAGCCCAAGTATCGCTCGGCGAGGTCTCGTTTCAAGGCATATCGTGGGGGAAAGATCAACGAGTAGATGTACGCCATGCGTTCGTGGGCGGGAGCAGCATCTTGAATCGCCTTCAAAGACGTCTGTGTGATTGTGAGGCGGGTGGTGTGCTGGTCGACGAGAGCCTGCATTTGCAGGATGGCGCGTTCGCGGGAGCGCTGGGTTTCACATTCCAGCCACGCTCTTTCGAGCAGCCCAGTCGAGTAAACCATCCAATTGTTCGGGTTGTCAAGGACTCGCGTCAAGTACGGCATCTAGTTTGAGTCGTCAAGCACATTCACGTGGTGTGGAATTCAGTACCATTTGTTCAGACGTGAGGCCGTCGGCTGGGTTGTTGTTTTTCACATCCAAACACAACGACAGGAGAATCGCTTGATCGATCACTTGCAGGTTGGATGGGGCACCAACGCTGTCGTCTTCAAATGCAACGTGTTCCAGCAGAATGTTGTCGGGGTCGGCTTGGTCTCGCGTAATGTTGCGGTACGCCGCCTCTCCGTCGGCGACCAGTTGATCCTCAAACGACAAGGGGTCCCCTTCTTCCGTCGAAGCACCAGATGAGGCCTCTTCTTCCGTGGATGAAGGCACTGCGCGATTCTTCCCTCCAAAGTCGACATGGGTCATCTGAGCTTCTGCGACGGCTGATTCAGACCCTGCCGCGACGTTTTCCACCCGCGACTTGGCGTGCAGCACCATTTGGGCCACGCTCTTCACTTGGTATTTGGTTCGTTTCCCCATCGACCCCGACATTTGAACAGTCAAGCCGCTAATGGCCATTGCGTCGTCAAAGCTGCTTCGACCTTTGCCGAGGATCTCAAACACGTGCTGGGCTAGACCCCACTCCAAATGCGCACGCGCACTCAAGTACGTGTCCGATGGATACGTACGCGCCACAGCGACCGAGAAACAATATTGCGCTTCTGTCCACAACGTGTTGGACGGCTCTTTTGTTATGAGCAGCCGCTGGTGCGTCATGAGACTACGACCAGTCCACCATGCACCCGTGGACAAGCCCAAGAGCACAGACGTTACTTGTGGGCTCAGCGGCTGAGCCATACCGTGCAGTGTACGCGGACGACGCAGGTAGTTGGTGAGGGTCGTTGGCTTGGTGATGTGATCTTCGGCTTCCGAGTGCGACCAATTCACCTTGGACTGCAACCCGACGAAGTGGAGAAGGCATCGCGCGGCCTCCAGGAACACGGGGTACTCGCAAATGCTAAACGGACTCTCACCATCCACTTGAAGAGAAACTAGCGCATGGCAATTCAAGGTGTCCTTGGTTACCTCCGTTGAGGAATTGTCCAGCAGAACAGCGAGCATTGGCAACAAGTCTGCCAAAGCAGAGTCTTCCATGGCAGGGCCAGTGTAGTTGAGTTGCACAAACATGTTCAAGAGCGCAGCGCCAGAGTACAATACCGTGTACGCCATCGAGAGCATGTTGGACGGGTCGGCAAGGAACATGTCTTCTAGCGCTTGTGTAATACGCGAGCATGGGTGTTTGATCGTCGGGCGGTGACGCTCCACAGCATTCCCGAGGGATTTCCACCATGACTGGACAGACGCATGGCGAAGAACGTCGGCATATTGACCTCGGCTAAGCAACAGAGCCAGCGCCAGTGTCGTCTGAGAGCTTGTGCTCGACGGTTGTCTTTGCATCTGCTCGATGCGGGCCGAGTTTGTGTCGATAACCGCCAGTTCCGCTTCCTTCAAGATATCGTTTTCGCTGAGCGTGTCGTCGTCCTCGTCGGCGGTCAGCACCACGGCATCCATGTTAAACACATCATCGTCCGAGTCGGACTCCATGATCGTTAATGCGATCGATGTCAAAATAACTGGCAGGGATTTCAATGGAGTCTCCCCGTTGATTGGTGGAATTTCCACCTTCGGAATGTTGGCCTCATCGCAATTCTCACCGCCATGCTGCGCACGAACTTGCAGACAACTCGCTTGGTTTACATTGGCTTTGTGAGCATTATCACACAACTACGACCCTAGTACGACGATGAATCAATTGCCAACTACCACTTGAAGTGCTGCTGGTCGGCTTGGTCGTCATCGTTCACGCTGCTCTCGTTTTCTTGCTGCTTGGTCTGCCGCTGTGGCTGGGATCGCCACATGACTTGGCGGCCCTTCCTCTTCTTGGGAGCCTGCATGCTTCGCTCCATGGACTTTTTCATGCGTTCCTCGTACATTTTGGTTTGCTGTGAAATGCGCTCTTGGCGCACGCGCTCCCGTCGTTCTTTCTCCTTCTCCTTCTCGGCCTTCACCACGTAGTCTTCTGGCATGTGTTCAATAGCGCTGAGTAAGTCTTCAAGCCGTGCTTCCAAGTCCGTCAGCATGAACAACGTGTTCGGATTCGAGTCAGCTTCGAAGCCACAGCGCTGGTACACCACCAGGACTTTCTCGTGCAACTCCTTGAGCAATTTCTCCTGGACGTTCTCGCCCGTTCCTGCCTGCGCGCGTTGCCGCAAGTGGTTGGCCTTGGCGTCTTCAACTGCGATTTGGTCTTTCAAGTCGTCGATATTTTGCTTGAGCACTTGGGTCTTCTTGTTCATCTTTTTCTTGGTTTCGCGATAGTTTTGCTTGAGTTCTTCCAGGGACTGCTCCGTCTCTTGACTGTTTTGGATCAAGAACAAGTTGCTCTCCTCCAACGCGGTAAATATATCGAGCAGTTGCTGTGGGTTCTGAAAGTACATGGGCAGTTCTTCGCCACTACTCGTGACAGCCAACTCATCCAAGTTGGGCATAGGCGGCAGGACGCTTTGGGGGGGCACAGAGTTCTTGGACTTCTCTGGTTTCTTCTTGGCTTTTCCATCTTTGTCAACATTACGATCGCGCTCGACTCGGTCACGTTCTTCCTGCTCGGCGACTGCCTTGGTCTTGATAGCTTCCCACTCGGCCAACATTTTTGCCTTCTTCTTCCGAAGACGCTCCTGCTGTCTACCATACCACATATCCTATGTCATTACGAAATGATACTAAGGCTCTCGCACCTCTTTTTCTTTTTGTCCTTTTGGTCGGATTCCCATTCTGGCGGCGTTAACTCGTCCAGGAATGCTTTGTACTTCAAGCAGTCATCCAGCTGCTCCTTGAGTTTCGACATGTCGCTCTGCACGAGCTGGATCTGTTGGTTGAGCTTCTTGATTTCCTGGACTCGGTCGGCCTTCGCCTTGGTTTCTTTTTCAGCCTTTTTTATAGCTTCGTGGGCTTTTTTGTCATTTTCTTTCAAGAACGTGTCAAATCGCACTGCGTCTTCCTCCAGCATCAACTCGCTCTTTTTTAGCGCTTCTTCCTTCAGTTGCGCCTTCTCTTCAAGTTTTCGAATTTCTTCCCGTTTTGTGTCGAGCGACATCTAAGTCAGGTGGTGTGTGGGCTTCTGCATGTATCTGCTGTTGACAGGGTGGTGACAGTATATGCCTGTACCTGGACGAGGAACATCTCGCGTTTCTTGGATATGAAGTCCGTCATGTTCTCCTTCTCTCGCCTTCGGTCACTTGATATGGCCGCCGTTGCTGCTGCGACGAGCCCTCGAGTTTGCTTAGACTGAGTGATCGTACCCAAATCTTGTGACTGAAGGAACGGTGACGTCTTCATTCATTGGAGGGTCTCCGGCCCAAACATACCGATTCCTCAAAATGAAAGCGGCGGATGTTGCCGCGTTGTGATGAATTCGTGATCTTCTCGTGGATTTTCAATTTGGAATTGCGGACGCGTTCCTCCTCCTTTTTCTTCTTGATGTCATCGCGCATGCGAAACACTTCTTCGTCCGACGGAAGCGTAAACGGGTTCGCATTGGACTCTACAAACAAACCATCATTGGGCACGTGAGCACCGTCGACATCGTGTAATCCATTACCCGGTGTCGTCCCACCGCTGGGCTCCCCGTGATCCATCACCGCCACCCCAATTCCTTCTTCGTCGTGTCCAGACTGAAACTGCGTTTCGTCGTTACAACATTCAAAAATAGGGCGCGAAAATGCAAGCATTTTAACGAATTACTTTGCGCCATCTTGAAATTTCATAATTTTATCCAATCAAACGATTTACTTGATCTTCGTAGTAAACCCGTGTTTTCCTGGGTAGTTAAACGTGGTTTTGACCTGACAAATCGACCACGACTCTAATGTTCTATGGTTTAACCTACGTTATTTATTAACACCCCAATCTCAAACTTTGGAGCACCGATCCCGCAAGCGCGCCTTCGTTTGGACCTGCGGCGTGGTATCGGTGAGGTACGTGGAAGGCTCCCGCACCCTGATCTCATGATGCATCGCGCAGGCTCACAAACAGATTAGACGCATTGCGCATCGACGACTATGCGCATCCGGTTTCAAGTATCGTTGGAGAACACGGGCGAAGTTGACTTCAAAGCATTGACTAAAACGTTGGAGTCGACAGCGACGCCATCGACACAAAAGCCCATCGACTTGCCGGAGTGCAAAGAAGACGATGGTGACCCCAATGTTGTAGATTTGACTGAAGACGACTCCACCACAGTAACGCCGTCCCATCCCGCACCGTCAGCACCATTGAATCCTCAAGCATCGTATCCACCACCGCCAGCATCACCCTCGCCACTTCCGCCGCGGGGACGGTTCAACATTATCGAACACCTGGAGCAGCGGTATGGCAAAGGTGGCATCCTTGATATTAAAAGCAGAGCAGCGCCGGCTCGACGACATGCCGACGACGACGATTTGTACGACTCAGAGGATTCGTTCATCGACGACTCGGACTTGCATGATTCCATCGAGAACACATACATGCAGACCACCGTCAAGACGAAACACAGTGGATTCTTCGTTAACGCTGGTGACAATATCGAGACAGTCAAGGATCCGTCGCACAAGCACGCCGCGTCTGCGGGCCATGGAACTACCGATGGCCCCGACGACGAATCACCTAAGAAAAAGAGCAAGAAGTCCCTTCACGACGACATGTACCTCGATGATGACTGGCAGCCAGGTCCTGAAGTCGAAGCCCTTGTCGCCAAATTCAAGCAGCAAGCCACTGAATGTACACTTTATCGTCGGTGGGCATTTCTTATGGCCCTACGTTTAGTTTTCGGAGAAAATCCGCCGCCAAAGCTGTGGCCACCCGCTTTGGACGAAGGACTACGCGAGGTGGACAAACTTGTCGTGGCATCACATCCCCAGCGGTGGCGTGTGAATGGGTACATGGGACATCTCATGGCCTTCCTCCCCTACACAAAAACAACGCTTCGTGCGCGAATGATCATGCTCGAAGCTCGGGACAATGCAGCTGACATCAAGATGAAAATTGAGGAGCATTTCACTACGTTTCAAGCGCAGGTGCGTGGATCAATCCTTGTTTTCTCCTCGTTAAGTAGAGCAATACGATGGATAAGGCTTCAATGCATGCTGCTGATGTCGACGCGGGTAAAGTCCCCACCGAGCAGATCAAAGAAGGTTCGTGTAATGTATTGGCATGAACGAAGACTCATATGAGCGGCAGTTATCTTGGCCGACCTCAAGTTGGCCGAGGCCGTCTATATGGCGTTGACAGCGCTGGATGACTGGGTCAACAAAGAAAATGAATACCGGTAATGTTGTTAGCAGCATGTGCCAGTACAGCTGACGTTCGTGGATAGACCGTTGCTTAAACAAGATGATAAGAAGCAACTGGATGAAGCAGACACAGTCGCGTTGGCGACGCAGAAGGAGCGCAATCGGTTGTACAACAAGGTGCCCCTGTAACCTATATGCGTGCTTGTTGATCTCTGTAACATGGCTGTGGTGTAGATGGTGGCAAGTCTGCCTGCAAGTATATCAAGTGTATTGGACCTGTCGGGTCTGCGAGAACTGTTCAAGATCGGCCGAAAGAGCAGCGGCCACAAGACTACAACTCCCCATGCCACCCCAACGTCCAAGAAAGCTGCATCCGCCGTCTCGGCAAAACGAGCAACGAAAACGCCACCTCCAACCAAACCAGCCAAAGCCAAAGATGCTTCCGAGCCGGGCGCTGCGAAACCCGTGCATGTGGCAAAAAAGTCCGCCAAACCCTTGCGCTCCCGTCGGTTTGTAACGTGTCCGATATGGTCGTCGGAGGATTTTTTGGACGATCGAAATTCGCCTGTGATAATTCCATAACACAGATTGCCTTGTCAAGTCAGCATCAATCATGTGGTCATGTCTGTCGATTCTTCAACACACGGGACGCGAGACCGTGCAATGGGGGACCACCTTCGCTGCCTACACCGAGTCACCGTCCCATCGCAGTGTCCGATGGATGATGTGCCCAAATCCATTCGTTGGTTGCATTCGAACGTCTTGCCTAGCAGGACATCGTCTAGATTGCGGGGGCTGCATTTGACTCAACGGTGATGAAAGTGCTCCTTTTGCTGACAGCTGTGACTGCGAGGCCGAAGAAGCAGTCCTCATGCCCCAAGGACTATAAGTCGACGGAACGAGGTGTCATAGCCTCCACCAAACGCCCAGCCTTCAAAACAAGAACTTCCCACAGGGAAATGCGTAGACAATGTACATTATGCAGACACTTGGCGCTGCACGAGTTGCACGTACTTGCCATTCGGAATTGCCATGAGCTCGTCGTGGGTGCCCTGCTCGACAATCTTGCCGCCGTCCGTGACCGCAATGATGTCGGCATTGCGAATTGTGGACAGTCGATGAGCTACGATGATGGTGGTGCGGCGCTTGAGTTGAAGCAGCGCGTCCAAACTCGCCTGGACGACACGTTCGCTTTCGTTGTCGAGCGCACTCGTCGCCTCGTCCAGGAGTAGCACCTCTGGGTCCCGCAGTATCGCGCGGGCGATGGCAATGCGCTGTTTTTGTCCGCCAGACACTTGCACCCCTCGATCACCCACCTGGGTTTGGTACTTGTCTGGAAACTGCATGACAAAGTCGTGTGCGTTGGCTTTCTTGGCGGCATCTTCGATCTCAGCCGTCGTAGCGCCTTCCTTGCCCGCCGCAATGTTGTCGGCAATCGTACCGGCAAACAAGACTGGTTCTTGGCCCACGAGAGAGATGTGTTGCCGCAGCCATTGGACATTGAGAGTCCGAATGTCCACACCGTCGAGTAACACACAGCCTTCCAACGGATCGTAGAAGCGCTCGAGCATGGAGATCGCTGTGCTCTTGCCACATCCACTGGCTCCCACCAGCGCCACCGTTGCGCCACTCGGCACCTTCAGTGAATACCCGTCGTAAATGATCGAGTGGGGGCGGCTGGGGTAGGCAAACTTGACATTCACAAACTCCAGCGCGCCTTGGACGGACGACAGCGTGTCTCCGTCTGTGGTCGACTTGCAGTCGATGGTTGGTTGGCGATCGATCGTGTCAAAGAGGCGGATGGCGGCCTGTTGCGCCTTGCCGCTATCCGCAAGGTCCTGCGCCGCCAGCCCGATGCCAAATGTGCTCAGCATGATGCACATCATGACAGTAAACATCTCTTGAAAGTTGACGTGCTTGTTGACGATCAGCCATCCACCAAACCAAAACAACAACGCCAAGGTGAAGTACAAAACGCCTTGGCTCACGCCAAACCCGACGCCGCCGAGCATCCCTTTCTTCACATCTTTTGTTGACGACGCGTCCAAGTGGCCCACATACCGACTGTGCACTTGGCCTTCCAACGTGAACGACGCGACGGTGCGGATCGAGTTGATGGATTCAGACAGGAGAGCCCCCGCTTTAACGTCGCCGTCATTCAACGCTTTGCCTTGGCCCGCCATCAGCGCCATTTGAGCGTACGTAGCCATCCCCAACAGGGGAAATACCCCAATCAAGGCCAGCGTCATTTGCCAGCTGTAGTAGAACCCGATCGAAAACGCCACAATCAACGTGGACCCTGCCACGAACACGCGATTGAGGAGGTCGCCCGTCATGGACTGAATGATCGCAGTGTCGGTGGCCAGGAGCGTCGTGAGGGCCCCCGACGACTGCGAGTCAAACCACCCAATGTCCTGGTGTAGCATGGCGAGGAATCCTTGTTCCCGTAAACGACGGGTCAGGCGCTCTGATACGACTGCGAACGAGTAGTTTTGCGCCGTTGCTGCGATGAAGTAGGTCGCGGCAATGATGAGAAATGCGATGGACCACTTGAGCGCTTCGTCTTTCATTTGATCGGGGGTCAAGTTGTACTTGAAGTACAAGACCGTCACGTTCACAAAGACGAGGCCGTAGACGGGGAAGACGGCGCCGTTGACGAGTGCGCCGATGGATCCAACGACTATGTACCACGCTTCCGGGGCATTCAGTCGCCAGAGACGACCCAAGGCGGTGAATTTGGTCGGGACGTCGGCAGACGCGCGTTCTCCCGCCACCTCCGTCGACACGACCGACTGCTCGGTGTGCGTAACATGCACAGCACCCGAAGCTGCCGCGTGCTTCGTCGACGGGTTCGCATTGGCAACAGGACGTGCTTGAGCCTCGACCAGTTTCTTGTACTGGCTATGGGGGCGGCTCATCAAGTCGTGATGGTTCCCTTCTTCGACAACATGACCTTCGTTGAGCACGATGATGCGGTCGGCATCGCGAATCGTTGACAACCGGTGAGCTATGATGATTGTCGTGCGCTGGCGCTTTGCAAGGAGGGCATCCAGCGACGCTTGGACGACGTGTTCGCTCTCAGCATCCAAAGCGCTCGTCGCTTCGTCGAGCAGCAGTACCGCGGGGTTTTTAATGATTGCGCGGGCAATCGCAATGCGTTGTTTCTACACCCGACGTCAGCATCATGTTTTCCCGTTTTTCTCACGAGTGGATCGGGATGACGACAGACCTGGCCGCCAGACAATTGCGTTCCTCGCTCGCCAACTTCGGTGTCGAACCCGCTTGGAAACGCCATGATAAAGTCGTACGCGTTGGCTTGTTTCGCCGCCTCCTGGATCTCGTCCAGGGTCGCGTCCGGTTTGCCGAACCGAATGTTGTCGGCTATCGAGCATGAAAACAATGCCGGCTCTTGGCCGACGAGTCCAAACTGCGCGCGGAGCCACTTGACGTTGAGCGATCGGAGGTCGTGCCCGTCGAGCTTGACGGTTCCTTCGATGGGATCGTAGTAGCGCTCGAGCAGCGACACAATCGTGGACTTGCCGCTGCCGCTCGGACCGACGAGCGCGACCTTTTCCCCTGCCTGGATCTTCACCGAATACCCATTGCACACTTGAACATCCGGGCGCGATGGGTAGTGGAACGAGATCGCATCGAGTTCAATGTGACCTGCGACAGCGCTCAACGTGTCCCCCGTGTCGGCCGTGCCGTCGACCCGCGACGGCCGATCAATCGTTTCGAACACAACTCCGGCCGCTGCACGTGCCGAGAACACCGCCTGAATGCTTGGACCCGCCTGACCCATCGCCATACCGCCCATGATAATGCAGAAAAAGACCGTGAGCACACGGCCGCCGTCGTAGCAGTTTTCCGTGCATTTGGGAAACGTTAGCTGGTCGTTCGCGACTTGGACGGCGCCATACCACATGCCAAACGCGTACGTGACGAACATCATGCCGAAGACGCTGCCGCCACCGAGCCCGATGGACAATCCCTTCTTGATGCCGGCTTTTTCGGTCTTGAGTAGCGCGGCTTTGTACTTGGACACGAAAGCCTCCATCGAGTTGAACATTTGGACCGTGCGGATGTTGGAGAGCGACTCTTCGGCAACCCCGCCGGCACTGGCGTACGCCGCAACCGACGCTTGGACGGCGTTGGTCAGCGACTTCATCATGAAGAAAGCGGCAAGGCCAATAATGGGAGTGAACCCGAGGAGCGCCAACGCCAATTTCCAGCCCTTCACAATGCCGAGCACAAGGCCGCCGATCCCCATCGCCAAAAAGTTGATCCCGTCCCCGAGTTTGCGCCCCATTCCGTCATGGATGATCAGCGTTGTGTCCGCCACTTTGGTGGCCAGTTCCATCGGGTTGTTCACATCGAACCACCCGATCTCTTGACGCAAAATCGCACGGATGTAGTGCTCCTTGATGCGCTTGCTCTGGCGACTTGCCGTGATGGTCCAGCACGCGACTTGACCGAATCCACACACGAGGACGCCCAGCCCGATCCAAATAAACTTGACGGCGACTTCGTTGATACCGGTGGACAAGGACGACTGCATCGTTTCGAGGTCGGCGAGCGTCGGCAGTGCAGTCGAGTTTGGCGGCGGTGGGTTGAACGAGTTCATAATTTCGCCAAAAAGAAGCACTTGCAGCGGCTGGGAAAACCCAGCACCCGCTGCAGCTATCGACCCCAATCCCATGAGCCAGAGGTCGGTGGAGTCGGCATATTGAAAGAGCTGACGAAGCGTCGCGATCTTCTTCGGTGGTTCGATGGCCGCGTCGTTGTCGGGCGGAGGGATCAGGTTCACGGTCCGAGAAGACGGCGTCTCCATCCCATGGTACGACGTGTGCTCGTGGGAAGCATCCTTTGACGCCGTCATCGATCGTGTGCGCTGGTTGCAGCAAGTTCAACAGTGCGATGGCCAGAATGCCCCCATCTGCTCACCCACCATGTTCGTTGAGAGTAGTTACATACAATTATTGGCACATTTGCATTCGCTGCACAAAGATATGTATTGCCTTTCCCAGTCACGTGGCCTGACTGGCCCATGTGTGCGTTGACGTCAGTGGGGAGGGGCCAAGCCCTCCAGTCAGGCGTTCGATGAAGCTTCGACTGCGGCATCCTTCCCCCCGCTCGCCCCGTCCCGCGCAAGCTCCACACGAAGTTGTCGATTGTGTCGCACTGCATTGATTAGTGGCACGACTCGGGCCAGTGATCAGGAGAATGATGGTCAATTGGCCAGACCGATCGGTGGGGAATGGGCGGAATGTTCGTTTTATCAAAGTATTTGTATAAAAGGATAACGCGACAAGGTCAACTTTTCATCACAAGGAAGATTCCGTCGACGTGCTTGTGCTGCCCGTCGCCACCTACGCAAGTTTCAATGGAAACGAGGCGTGCTCGCGTGGCTTTCCAGGTCGACATCGCGCTCTTTTGAACACGGTCTGCTTCAATTCCTGGTGTCTCGCGGTCTAGCCGAGACGACCCGCTCGTTTTGTGGTCGGAACACAGGCGGCTGTCACTGCTGTTCGACAAAGACAGGTTGTGCCCTCCATGTCTCGTTTGCATGGCGCGCGGGTGAACTCAAACTTTCCGACACCAACAAAGCACAGCGTTTCTCGAACTGTCCAGGATTAGACTTGTGAAGACGAAAACCCCGGGTAACCAGGGTGGGCTCCTGGGTACGACGAATAGCTCGGTTGCTGGGGGGGTGGGTACGCTCCTTGTGGTGCGGGATATCCAGGCTGGGCTCCGGGATACATTTGGTAGCTGGGTTGTTGTGGTGGGGCATAGGCTCCTTGTGTCGCGGGGTACCCTGGCTGTGCTCCAGGGTACATGGGTTGGCCATAACTTGGCGTTTGTACCGGGTATGACGGTGGAGGTCCGGGGAAGGAAGGTGGAGGGTACGGAGTTTGGGCATATCCCGGATATGTGGGCTGAGGAGCATAGCCAGGGTATCCCGGTTGCGCGCCATAACGCGGGGGTTGCTGCGGGTAAGATTGCTGTACAACACCTTGCCCGGGGTAGCTCGCAGTCGGTCCAACTCCAAGAAGGAGTTGAATCGCCAAGTTGATCGACCCTTTCTGCTTGCGGCCGTGGTTGACAGGATACCATTGATCCACGAGCTGACCATGGAGGAATGCATTCACAGGAACGTTGCACGTGCCAATGAATTCGTCGCTGACCCAGTTCGAGTCCTTGATCACGATGATCAGTTGCTCGTTCTGCGGATCCACCACGTTGAACACAAACGAGTCATCCCATCGGGGGTTCTTGCCGCCGTTGTCGTGCGTTCGTGTCCGGAAGACACGACCACTCAGTCGGACTTCGCAGAACGGGTCTTGCTTGCCTATGAATTGCACATCGCGGAGGTTTGTCGCGGCCTTGACGCGAACTTGGAGCTCCGGCATGCGCTGCGTGTGTGGAGGGTTGGTAAATGGGTTGTGCGATAGAATTTGCCGACGCGAGGACCGAGGCGACGCAAAAATTGCAACAAATTTTTATATATATCATAATTTCACTTCTTTGTGTTCATTAAAAATGCGGTACGTACACACTTTCTCTCGATGTCCCTGTTTTTAATACTACGTAATATACGTCACATAGTCGAAAGACAAATAAATGGAGTACAATTTTTATTCTAGTCGGACAAAAATTGCAATTTGTGGGTGTGGCAAAAAGGCAGAGTCATTGACAGCGACATGGCCGCGGCGACACGAACTCCATCCCATCGTGCAGCACAGTCGAAGGTGCACTCCCGACGCTTAAGAAGGCAGTCGCTGGAGTGTAGCTTGTTGGTACTGCTAAGTGCCTCTTGTGTTCATGTGGCGCGAACCACAACCGATGTCAAGCCAGTGTGGAAGAATGCATGTCAACGGTTGTGAGGAATTCGGCAAGGCGTGCGACAGGGGCTATTTTAAACGGTCCGATTTTGTCGAATGACTTGGGTTTTGTATAAGAAATACATTAAATAAAAAAAAATACAGGCAAGGGATTCGCACTTTCAGATTGGCCTCACATGCCTGAGCTCCACCTCCGCGCCGTGAGCGGCCGGAACTTGTACGATGCCCAACTCTTTGGGAAACAAGACCCTTTCTGCAAGATCCAGGTAGGCAACCAAGTACAGAAGACCAAGGTCCACGACAACGGCGGTCGTTTCCCGGTCTGGAACGAAAAGTTCATCTTCCGCGTGAACGACCCGCAACTCGATCAAATCGTCATTACGATCGAAGACAAGAATGTGTTGGACAATGCATACATTGGGCAATGCCGCGTCCCCGTCAATTCTTTCCTCCACGGACAAGTAGTCGACCAGTGGTACCCTGTCACTCGCGGGAAGGACCATCGAGGGGAAATAAACCTGCGCGTTCAATTGACGGGGCTGCCAGGACAGCCCCATGCTGGCATTGCACCTCCCGGGGGCTATCAAGCTCCCGCCCCAGCATATCCCGCACAGCCAGGGTACCCTGTCCCTCCTCAAGGTTACGGCCCACCTCAACCGCAACAAGGTTACATTGCCCCTACGGGTTACACTGCTCCAGCGCAGCCAGGCTACGCTGCCCCTCAACCAGGGTACACTGCGCCTCCACCTGCATACCCCAGCGCTCCTTCTGCACCTGTTCCGCCACCTACGTACCCCGCTGCTCCCACCAACCCATCACAACAATCGGTGCAAATACAACAGCAGCAAGCTCAACTGCAGCAACAGCAGCAGCAATTGAACCAGCAACAGCAGCAAATGCAGCAGCAAGCCATCCAGCAGCAACAGGCTGAACTCCAAAAGCAGCAAGCCGAGTTGCAACAGCAGCGGGCGCAACTGGCGCAGCAGCAAGCCAACCTGGCTGCGGCGGCCCAAAGACCCCCACAGTATGCTCCCCCGCCTCAACCGGTCTACGCTCAGCCCCCACCACCAGTGTATGCCCAGCCCCCGCCGCCAGTGTATGCTCAGCCTCCACCGGTCTACGCCCAGCCCCAGCGAGTGTATGCTCCGCCTGCCCCTGTGTATGTGCAGCAACCACCTGCCGTTTACGTGCCTCCTCCGCAGGTTGTCGTCGGTCCTCCCGTCGTCGTTGGAGCCCCCATGTACGGTCACCACCACCATGGTTACGGCTATAGCGACGATGGTGGTGGAGTCGGTCTTGGGTTGGGGCTCGGTGTCGCCGGGGGCGTTTTACTTGGTGCCGCGTTGTCCGATGATGGTCATGGATTTTTTGGCGGCGATGATGGCGGGTTTTTTGGCGACTAGACTTTGCTTAAATCGGCCATTTTAAGCGTGATGCATTGAAATCGTGATTGCTCTGTGGTGCGCTTCTCCAGCTCAAAGCACTGCTGTACTCGTCCCCGAATCATGGTCGAATATCTGGGGTAATTACGACATGATGGTCGGTTTAGCTCCAAGTCGATTCAGTATTTTTAGCCACCGCAGTGTGGCGGAAGCGAAGCACATGGAAGGCCGAGAAGGGCTGTACAGGGTGGCGGAGGGGTCGCCACATCGACGGGGGAGCGTTGCGAGCGTCCTTGGACGGCGTAGCAACGTCCTGGACGAGATCGAGCCGTTCGCATCCGACTCGGACGACTCGGATGATCACCTCCATGACGACAACGACCTCATCGCGACCCCCTGTCCGATTCCGCACCTCGGGTTCTGCTACCACGGCGATGCGTTCTACCAGCGTGGATTGTATACGGAAGCTCTGTTGTACCTGTCTCGGCTTCCGCGCAAATCCAAGCTTCCCATGCCGATGCAGAGCGCAACGACGCCCATGTCGTCTTCGTCGGCGGCGACCATCCCCATGACAGCAGCTTCACAATCTAGACGCAAAGCGGGCGTGTCGAAGCTTACGCCAATGTCCCGGTCGTCCAACCACCGCGAGTCGGTTGTCCTTGACGTCAAGGATGAAGGCCGCGACTCGCGCATGAACCGAAAGCGGCAATGCGCGTATGCCATCGATGCGATGGCGGCCAATCCAATGTTACACCCTACGCTCTTTGCAGACAACGTGGTCCCGACGTTGCTGTCACTGTGTCGATCCAAAGACGGGGTCACGTCGCGGTTGTGTGTGTCTGCACTGTGCCATCTCAGTGGCAGCCAGCGCGGCCGGGAGCTCATGCTTCAGCACGGGTGCCTCTCCATCCTTCAAGCGGCGCTCCTCCTTCCCGCGAGCCCGGATCACTACAACATCCTGGCAACATTTGCCAACCTGAGCATTGAGGACAGTTTCGAGTCGATGTTCGTCAAAGAAAAGGCCCTCGAGAGCATGGTGCAGCACCGAAAGAGCACCGATGCCGCCGAGAGACTCGCGTCGTTTACACTCTTCAACCTGAGCTGTCCATCGTACACATATCCTCGCATCAACGATGTCATGCGCGCGCTCGTCGAGCATGGTGCGTGTGCTTCTCTCCCTGCCCCTATCCACCGACTTTCGTTTGACCAGGCCGCGACTGCCGCGACCGCCTCTTGCTCAGCCAAGCTTTCTACAACCTCACCGCGACCAAATCGAACCGCATGAAAATTGTCGCGATTCCAGATGCCTTCGACATCATCAACGTCTTGGTCATGACCACGGCCGATCCTGTCATCCGCAGCAACGCGCTGCATTCGCTTTGGTGCCTGTCTGACACGGAGGGGTGTCGACGCGCGCTGATTGTGCATGGCGCGGTGCGAGCCCTGGTCACGAGTTTAAAAGCCACGACAGACATCCAGGACCTGCGGTACACGCCATTCCTTCATCTCATTCCTCGCTCATGCCGCGTTATCAGGTGCATTTTTGCCACCCTAGACAACGTCGCGACTGAGTCCCTCGGGTGCGAGGAAATGGCCAACGTTGGCGCGCTCAGCTCTCTCGCGCACCTCACCAACCTCCTCGTGGACCCGACCCTGCGAACCTCCGTGTACAAGTGCATCTCGCTCATCCTGGCCGGCGAGCGCAACGTTGTCCATGTCGACGTTGCGTTCTTCGAGCTGCTCGTGTCGTACTCGCACTCGAACGCGCTGGACTTGAAACACATCTCGCGATACGTGCTCCACGGTCTGGGCTGCCTCCTCGCCTTCGCCAAGCCAGACGCCCAGTCGTTCCTGCACAACCTGGCGTACCTCCCTAAACTGCTCTACCACGTGCTCTACAAGAACTTCGAGCCGAGCGGCGCCGACGAATACCTCCAAGCAGTCCTGTTGTACAACATGACGCTGACGTTTCGACCGTTGGATATCGCCAAACCATGCCTGGCGCGCCTTCTCCATTTTGGACTCGACAGTCCCCGGGAAGACATTCGTGCGATGGCGTGCGGAATGCTCTTTAATCTCTTCCAGGAACCAACGTTGCACGAACCGCTCTTAACCCACGACGGCGTGCTCGACGTTCTGGTCAAGCTGCTTCAGCTCCCGCCGTCGTCGTCATTCGATCTGGATACGCCATGCAAATGCCTCGACATCATTTGTGTCGTGCTGGACCAGCATCAGGTGGGGGAAGCGCTGACGACGGCGGTAATATATGCCGTGTTTCCGACCCTCGTCAAGCTTTGTGAACGCGGCGACTCCCTCGTGAACGCCGGGTGTGCGGCGTGCTTTGCCCGATTCGGGATGGTCGAGTCGTGCCGCGTGCGCATGGTCCGGAATGGTTTGATCGCGTCGTTGTCGCTCCTGGCCGGCGAAGACAACCCAGACACGCTCCAGTTGGTCGTGAGCACGTACTCCCAGCTCAGCTGCGACCCGACCATTTGCCGCGAACTGATTGAAAACGGCATTGTGCACTCGCTCGCGAGTTTGGCAGCAGCGCCGGAAGAAGACGTTCGCCGCGCGTGTGCGATTGCGTTTTGCAACCTGTCGACCAACGAAGACAACATTGTGACTCTGGTCAAGCATGGCGCGCTCAAAGCGCTGCTCGTGATCTCGTGCGTCAAGTCCAACGACGCGATCACGCGGCGGATGTGCATGAAGGCTGTACGACTCGTCATGCCACCGAGCAATCAACCGACTGACTGGCGTCGTGGTAGGTCATGAATCTCATGCGAGCCGAGGCCAACATCCCGACGATGTGCAACGATGGACTCCCTTGGGCATTCACGATCTTTGCCATGTCGAGCGAAGAGCAGGACTTTCCGATCCTGGCCGACGCGTTCTGTGGCTTGTCGTTTTACAGGGAAACCCGCAGGGGACTCGCCAAGGTAGGCCGCGTCTTATATCGTGCAGGTCGCGACGCACGGGTAGGCGTCCACCCTGACTTGTTTCCTGCACATTTTGCACCGCATCTACGACACTCCTGCGGGGGCAACGATGCTCAAAGGTATCGCGGTTGGCAACGAAGTAGACCCGACGGTCCCCCGGACGTAGGAATTTTGAATTTGCTCACGGACATCGAGGTCGCGCCGCCGCTATTGAATGCGGGTCTGTTGGGAGAACTGAATCACTTGGCGGAAGCGTCGTCGATCGACATTCGGAGGATGGTGGCGCAGATCCTCACGGCGGCGTTCCAGTCGTCGCCCGAAGCCCGGTCCAAGGTGCGCGCACGATGCCTTTGTCATGACACGACCGTGACGCCCTCTTGCGATGCATGCAGTACATGGAAGAAGCGACTCTGCACATCATCGGCCACCTCCTCAAGACCCACGACACCGCCACCAAGCACTGCTGTGCCATTCTCCTGCACGTTTTGTCCCTGGACGACAAGACAGTTCGCGTGCTCATCCTAAACGACACCATGACGACGGTATCGCGGCCGACCTGTACTCGTTGGTTGCTCCCTTGCTCACGAGGTGCCTGCAGGTGCTAGACACCATTCGCGAAAGCGGGCCGAATCTCGAGATCATGCTGCTGCTCATGCGCGCCATCTACAACATCTCGTGCCGCGATGATCTCCTCGTCCACGTGTGCAAGACGGGCATTGTGTCGTCTATATCGTACATTGTGTCGTCGCAGGGGGATAGCCCGCCGTCCGTCGCGATGTGCGCTGCCATCATGCGCAACCTGAGCTGCGAAGGTTCGTGCCATGCCCAGCTCGTCAACGACCACGCAACGACGTTGCTCGTGTCGATCTTCAACTCGAAGAACGCGCTGAAAATCGCCAAAGAGGATGCCGCGATTGGCGTGTGCAACCTCCTCCTCGGTCGGGTGAATTCGAGTGTGATGCTGGCCCAGGGCGCGCTGACGCCGATTCTGTGGCTGTGCGCCCATGCCGGCCTCGAAAGCAACATCCTGTGCTCGGCCGTGCTTCGGAAACTCGCCATGCCTCCGGGCAACATCCAACAGCTCGTGGATGAAGGCGCGGTGCCGTGTGTCGTGTCGCTCTTGGAAACCACGTCCAACTTGTACATCAAGCGCAACTGCACCGCGACGTTTTGCCTCCTCGCGAGAAAACACAGCGTCAAGCCGTCGTTGGCCGCCAATGGCGTGATCTCGCTCACTTTGGATCTCCTCGACGACTTGAAGAAGCCGTCGACGATTAAGAGCCCGGTCACGACCAGCATCGAGAAGATGAGCATCGACCTCGTCACGTCCCTCGCCGAGTTTGTCCGACCAAACGTCGCCGGCGAACAGCACATTTCGTCCATGCTGTTCCAGCTCATCGACGTCGAGGACGGAGGGTACGTACGCAGCACGGCGTGCGAGTGGGAGCAAGACCGGGAATTCCTCGTCCGGGCGCAGGATGGACCGCTCCCGCTAGCAAAACCATCCGCTGCAAGACAACTCCGCACGGCGGACATCCCCACCCTCCATGTTCCGCTGTTTCCGATTCTGTCGCAGGGATATTCCGAGGGCTTTACCGTATCTCGCGATCAATTGGTGATGCGCAAGCTCGAGAGTGTTGTCCCGACTATCGACGATGCGTATGGCCACCGCAACTCGGCGGACAAAATGGAAGACAACCTCGACGTCCTTCGAAAAGTTCTCTTGTCCCACACCAACCAAGGCAATGCGATTCGATCTGCCGGATGGAAGAAGCTCGTGTCGATGGAGTTTTCCAGCCAAAAGATGTTTCCAAAGCTCCGAACGCCGTTCGCCCCCATGGCAGTCAACGCTTCAACCGGGACGCCAGACGTTGACAAGGTCGACATCAAACCCGACAACGCGCCACCACCCCCCATGTCCAAGGACAAGGTCCTATGGCGAACACCACCAGTGTTTGATGGGAAGAAGAGCGCGGATGAAGCAGGAGGTGGAGCCATCAAGTCGATTGCGAGCTTCACTATCCAGCATGCTGTGCTTGGGTCGCCAATTCGAGCATCCCCTCGCGTTGGCACGCCCGGCCGACGAGTGCGGTTAGCCCCCGTCGACGAGAAAATGTCGTAACGTAAGAACTCCGTGCTCGAGTCATCGACCGTGCGTACATGAATCGCTTGCACTGTCATTGCGTTTATGAAAGCGCCAGTCGCTCCATTTCAGCCCAGCAGCATGACGACCATCTTTCCGCCGCGTGCAGCAGTTTGCGCTGTGGAAATCTTTCGAGGTGCTCGCGTACCGTGTGGATGGACTGCTGGCCATCCATTCAACATGGTCCCCAGTTGGCTGCTCGAATGGCTGATGAAACTTCCCTTAAAGCACGCCACGCTGGAATTGCCAATTTGGGAAACGCCATGCGCGCTTCAAACATGGTCATCATTGGCGCGTCGAAAGGATGGATTCGTTCCATTGTTTGACAGAACGTGACCTCACCTGCCATGGCAGACGACAATGGGTGGGATTGGTGTGGATAATGTTGCAAGTGCGTCGACAGTTCCTGTGCTGGTAGTTTCCGAGCGCGACCTCACGCCGCGGTTTGGTGGACCTTGAGAAACCACGTCGTCGTTCGCAATGTTATCCGTCCAAGCGAGGCCGCTTGTTTGTGCCTTCCAAGTGCTTCACGACCGCCTTTTCGTCGAGTAAGATGCTCGCCACGGTCGTAGACTCCTCGACGGGCTGGGCCATGAGGCTCAGGTACTTTTTCGACATGTGCACGGCCATGTCGACGCTCAGATTCAAGTGCGACTCGAGCAGAAACTGGTTGATCCACGGCGGCAACTTGGATCGTTTGTCGAGGCGATTGTATCGGGAATCGGCAAACACGATGATGCCATAGTCTGCCTTGGATCGAATGACGCGGCCGGCGCATTGCGCCGCTTGGCGAAGCGCGTCAAACGTTAAAAAGTCCCCTTCCTTGATGTGGTGTGTGTACCGGAGGTACTCGAGGCGAGCACGAAGTTTGTTGGACAGCGTGTACTGGAACGGGATTCCAAACAAGAGCACGGCGCGGCCGTAGTGTCTGTCGAAATCGATCCCTTCCGCGACCTTGCCGCGTGCAACGGAGAAAAACACTGCGCCGCGCCCGATTTCGCACGCGCGCTTGTAGTTGTCGAGTGCGAGCGTCGTCTCGACAATGTCTTTCGTCTCAATGAAGATCAGTTTGTGAGCGAGGACCTTTTTTAGGACCCCCAAGACGTCCCATTGCTGAATGATGCTCTCCATGTACATGTACGACGGAAAGAAGCACACCATGCCGTCCGGTACACACGCCGCCATCTCGAGCAGCAGCCCACCGTAGTTGCGAACGACACTCAAATCGTCGCGTAGGTCGAACTTGGTGCTCACAGGCATCTGGTCACTTCCACGCGTGATAACCAGCGGGCAAATGCACGATCGATACACCGACATGGGCAAAGATTCGCGCACAACAGGCGAAAAGTTGAGCAAGCGCGGGTACAAATCGATCGGGGACAGTGTCCCTGATGTCAGCACCACCGTCGAGAACCTACCACACCACCACATTCAGTGAAGTAACGCAGTAGTCGTGTACAAGCGTGACAGGTCTACCGTTCAAACACGGGTCGCATGGCCAGCGACGCATCGAGGCATGCGAGCTGCAATATCGGCTGGGGTTGATTGAATTCGTCCGTGGGTTCCAAGATGAGCATAAAGCCTTCTGTGTACGTGGCCACGAGGGTGGCAAAGTTGGCGACTTGAGACAGCGACGTAAACTCTTCCAAGTTTGTGACTTCGAGTGTTCGAAGCAGCGTGTTCAGCCGAGAGTAGCAAAACTTGAGCGGCTTCACGTCGATCGCGACTTCCGTTTGCATCGTGTGGAGGAACGCAGCGGGCGTTTCCGACTCGACCTGGCGCACCTTAATGCGTTTGCGCAGGTATTCAATCACTCGTCGAAGGAACGCGAGAAAATGTTCCGCCCGACGAATGTTACCTATAAAGCACAACCATCGCGTCAGGGGGACCTTCATGCATTGCCAAGACTTTCAGGAAAATGAATCAGAGTACCAGGAATGGCTTCTTCCAGCACATCGGCAGGCAGGACCGGGTTCGCAGTCGCGAGGTCGCTTGTCTCAGATACACCCACAACTGTTCCGCTCGACCGCAGTCCTTCCACTAGGCGACGATATTCCGCATCCAGCTTGGCCTTGTCTGCTTGCTTCATGCGGCTGACGGCAGTGCTAACCGTGGTCTTCAGCTGGACTCCAACAACGTAACGAGACAAAGTGTACCTGATCGTGGTGAGGTTGCGAGAGGCCCTGTCCAGCGCCCGCCGATTCAGCGTGACACTGAGCGCTTCGATGCACACGTTGTCGATGTTGTGGGCCTCGTCGAACACGACGATGCAGTCGCGCTCGAGCGATCGAGACACCATCTGAGATACTTTGGGATCGAGCATGTACTGGTAGTTGTACACGACGACGTCGGCAGTTCCGATCGCTTGGCGAGTCATGAAGTACGGGCACCACCCGCGCTGGGTGCCCATTGTCTTAAGATCATCCAACGTGTACACTCCGCTCTCGAGCACTTGGTCGTCCGTCGATCGTCGGTCGTAGTTTTCGTAAAAGCTGCATGTTTCCACGTTCATGCCAGCTTGCGCACGGCCACGCACCCACGACGCCGTCATTTGCCGACACTGGCCATCCACGGTTTCGCCGTCGGGGTTGTTCATGACGCGGGGATGCACGCACATGTTACGACGAGAACTTAGACATACTGCCGTGATGATGGATGATTGCGCGCCCAACATCTCGGCTCTGTATTTCATCACGTGCTTGATTTCCTCCACACATTTGGACATTTCGGGCACTGTACGCGTGCAGTAGATGAGCTTGCCTGTCGTTTGCGGATGTGCGTACTATAGCGCCCCATCGTAGCATGAATGCGATATCCACATGTGCTGCATGTACATGTGAGGTTTCCTACCTTGTACGACAACACGAGGGAGAGCAGCGCTACGGTCTTGCCTGTTCCTGTAGGCATTTCAAGCATGGCATGTCCCTTGGCGTCCAGAGCACGTTTGAGCTCACGCATGTACGTGACCTGTTCGGCATACACGCGGGGGTACGGAAACAGCACCTCGAGCCCTTCGATTTCTAGCCGCATCTTCCCGCTCTCGTCAAGTCGCCAACAATTTGCAATGATGCAAGCACCTTTAACAACTAATAATTGCTTATATTAAATATTCTTGTTAATTGATATTCATAAAACCTTTGATATCGCATAGAGCACATGAATTTCGTTCTCGCGCCAAATTTGCTAAGCTTGCTTCCGCAGTGTCCACGGCGGCATGGACTGCCCACGTGAGCCCCCTCCTGCATACTTCCTCCACCACTCAAGCAAGCCACAATGTCACGTTGGCAAAGTCAACAGGGTTCATGGCTAGCACGTGTTCAGTCACGTGGTCGTGATCCTGAGCTACATCGAACTCACACTCAGCTGACAGGTTTGCACACATGCGAATTAGATATCTATACAGTCGTGGCGCGAGACACCACATTATTACACGCTACGTACGAGCGAGTGTTGAACTAGTGTTGGACGAATCCCTTGGACACGACGTTGAGGACGAGCTCCGATGGGGCAGTGGTAAAGAGCGACGCAGGATAGACGGCAGCGCCCCATTCCGGATGAATCAAGATCTTGCACATGCCAGCGCTCAAGCAATTGTACCGCAAAAGCACTTCGACGCCGTCCACTTCACTGTACACTTTGTTTGAGTTGAGCGCCAACATCTACTCCCAACCATGAGAAACGAAATGAGGGCAGCAAACTGCCCAACCGTGATAACTTACCGGCAACCCAGAGCAAGGGTCGATGAAGTCTGCCCAATGCCCCGCGGCCGTCAATGCTGCGGCCACTTCATGTGCCCACTTGACAAAGTTCTCCAGCAGGCGATCTTTCTCCTTGTCGGCTTCTTCGCCGAACTGAGCCAAGTCCACGCTGGCACGTTGATTTGTGACAACAGCAAGCACATGACACTCCTTCTTGAGTGTGTTGGGGAACACGTGCACGAGTTCTCGCATCATAGTGCGAGGGCATTCATGCACAGAAACCTCCAGGCCGCTTGTTGTCATGGTGGGCTGGAGGAGGATTAAATGGCGAGGCTGTCGCACTGGTCGCTGGATGTCAGTGGTAGACAACAACTCAATTGATGCGTCTTCGTCTGTGGGGCGGGCCATTCTGTCGTCGGGGTCGGCTCTGTTGTGCTGCTGGAGGTGTCCTTGTTGCGGGCGGCCGACGATGTCATGCTGATTGATTCACTTCACTTCGAACTTCGCTTTTTCAACCTCAACGAATTCAAATCCAATAAATGAATCGAAGTTGGCGATTTACAATTGGCCAATCAGGTGTTAGGACACGACCAGTCTGGTCAATCAAAATCGACGTAGGAATGTGGATCCACCGTGCGCAGCCAACCAATGGAATTTCGAAGCGCCGATATGATTGGTTGATCTTGCGAATTCTGCATTTTGGCCAATGGAATCTCATTATCTACAAGCACCGTGGATTGCATCGACTTTATGTTGTTTGATACAGTGTGGGTTCTTGGATTTGAATGATTTCTAAATAGATGACGGATTTTGCCTGTTAAAAATAAACGAATTCATCGTTTTCCCCACCGTGTTCGAGTTCCCACCACCAACGTGAAGCGATACCATGGGCAACGGCAGGAAACCGCAGCGCAACAACAAGCGTAAGGCTGCCGACGCGGGCGACGATGTATCGTCGCCGTCCAAGGAAGATGAATGTAAAGTGATTGTGATGAACTTTGGCGCGTGGAAGACCAAGAAAGATTTGGAGATTGTGTTGTCTGAGCACAACCACGTGTACAAGGCGATCCAGAAGCTGAACAAGAGCTCGTTCGGGTTCATTGTGTATGAATCCAAGGAAGAGCGAGACACCGCTCTCGACGTTCTTTCCAAGATCGATTGGATGAACAGTGAAAAACTCGAGGTCAAACCCGCGTTGGCAAAGCGCAGCCTGAAGCCAATGCGCGTCGACCCATCGGACGACTCGAGCACCGCGGCCAAAACCGTCATGGATGCTGTGACCCCATGGCGAAATGTTCCGTACGCCGAACAGCTAGAGCGCAAAGACGACGCGATGAAGAAGGTGTTGGTGCGTATCGTGCGACAAACGCGCAAGGAGTACATGGACAAACAGAAGCGCGTCTCGGAGGAGCGCAAGCGCCTGCGCAAGTTGCAAGGGGTTGCTACGCTCGACGAGGTTGTAGGAGGTCCATCCGAAGTGATTGTGCCCTCCTGGCTCGACAGCACGGGGTCGCTGTACCTCCTCACCCCATCTGGTCTGTATGCGCAAAGCCTTCAGAGCGAAGACGCACCGTGGGTGTTCCAGGCCAAGGCCGACGGCTTCAATGGGCTCATCTCGTTTGCGTCCGACTTGATTGCAACCAACACAGATGGCCTTTTGTACACCTTCGACACGGACGCTCGTACCTGGTCGCAGTACTCAGCCGCACCCGCCGTCACGTCGGTCACTGCGATGGCGTCGTTTCGAGGGCATTTGGTGTGTGCCACTTCCGACGGACAAGTATGTTTGCATGCGATGCGTAGGTGGTTGCTGACGATTCATCCCACTAGATCTTGAAACGTGTGGTGGATGGCCAACGTGCCGATGCAACATGGGTGCCGCTTGCGTCGCTGGACGTAGCAGCCACCGCAATCACAGTGCACCAGAGTTTCTTCTACGCGACTCTGGCGGACGGCACGTGGAAGCGCGCGCCGTTGACGGCGGATGCAACAGAAGCGCTTGTGTTTGACACGTGCCCTTTTTCGCACGCCAACGTGACTGGAATGACGTCCCACGACGCCAAGTTGATTGTGGTCCTGCAGGAATTCCCATCGGCGCGGACGGAAATTGTTTTTTTGAACGATGATGGCATCACCCGCGCCAAGAAAGAGATTCTGCTTGAGAACAGCGCGCAGACGGGGGCCGTCGTAGGGTTTGCGTCCCACAAGGGTATTTTCTCTCCTGCAGTCCTCACGTGTTTGGTATAACGACGACGTGGACGTCGTGATGTAGGCTTGTGCTGCTCGATGAAACCAATCACACCGTCGCCCGCGCTGGAAGGATATCGCAACAAGTGCGAATTCAGCTGCGGGTACGACGCGGACCGCAAGCCCATTGTCGGTTTTCGGTTTGGGACGTACAAGGATGGCCTCGTGTCCGTCGGGGGCCCCGATGACTGCGTCAATGTGCCGGCTTCCATGAAGGCCATGGTCAAAACATTCCAAGTACGAGCACATTTCCACACACTCGAGCGGGTGTGTCGGTGATGCCGGGTGATTGTAGGAGTTTCTGAATCAATCCGAGCTGCCCGTATATGACGTAACGACCCACGAAGGCGTGTGGCGCCTCCTCACCATCCGGGCGAGCGTCCACACGAAGGAGGTGATGGTGTGTGTCCAAGCCAACCCGTCGAGCCTGGACGAAACGACCTGGGAAGCCGCAAAGTCGAACGTTGTGGCTGCGATGACGTCGAAGCATGCGATCGCGTCGTTCTTTGTGCAAGAGTACACGGGGGTGTCTGCCCCCGAAGAGGACCATCCCGTGGTCCACGTGTACGGCAAGACGCAAATCGAAGAGGAGCTGCTTGGTCTGCGCTTCCGCATCTCGGCCAACGCTTTCTTCCAAGTCAACACGCCCGGCGCTGAAGCTCTCTACTCTCTCGTCCGTGAATACGCTGCAGCCGACGACAAGACCCAAGTGTACGACGTGTGTTGCGGGACTGGAACGATCGGGCTCTGTCTGGCAGCCGATGCCGGCAAAATCGTCGGGATCGAGTTGTGCAAAGCCGCGACTGATGATGCTGCCGCCAACGCCACGATCAACGGCATTTCGAACGCTACCTTTGTCAACGCAAAAGCTGAAGACGTGATGAAGGAGGTCCTCCGCAAGCCGCGAGAAGGCAACGACCTTCGCTTGGAACGCGCGGTCGCTGTCGTCGATCCACCCCGAGCGGGTCTCCACATCAAAGTCCTTCGCGCCCTCCGTGCCTTCAGGCCTGTCACACGCATCGTTTACGTGAGCTGCAACCCCACCGGGTCGCTCGTCGAGGTACACTGCTGACCCTGTCCACGTCGCCTGCGATATTCACTGAGTCGTGTTTAGAATGCAGCTACGTTGTGCGGTCCCGAGACGAGCAACTTGAAGGGAGCTGCCTTCAAGCCCGTGGCCGCGGCCCCCGTCGACATGTTTCCTCACACGGAGCACTGCGAAATGATCATTGTATTTGAACGACAATCGAATTAGAGTTATAATGCGACCAATGGCAACGTGATGTACGATACATGGACCGTCCAACTTGACAGAGGATAGACTTCGACGACGTCAGCGCGCTTCCTTGGGCAAGCAACTAGCAAGTGGGCACGCAACAGGCCCACGTGGTTGCCTCGTTTAACGAGCAAAGCCTGTGGTAGCGAGTACTTGAGAAGCGACGACGACTGGCCAGTGCTAGACACGAGAAGTTGATGACGAAACATATTCCGTCAAGGCGCGTGGATATACCGAAGACTGGTTAGCACGAGCTCAAACACAACCAGAGGTTGCATCGCAAGTGTATTCTCGCCACATGTACCATTGGTATCCAACGAGTAGATGACGGGGTAGTTTAGAAATAGCCCCGCCACGGCGGTGTGCGATGGGGTCCCAACGGCAGGTAGGGCGATTGTTGGTCGAGACTGCTCAGTCAGAGTTCGAACTACCAACTGCAGGAAGTGCATGATCACAGTTGAATCCGACAGCCTCTATGGCAGCGATGAGCTTTACTGGGGTGGCGTATAGCCAAGTACATGAGGAACCTCGTCGACGTGCGTCTTGTTGACGTCAACGACGTAGAGGTTGGTGAAGCCGTATGCAATGTCGACGAGTTTGGCTTGGACGAAATGCACGCGATGCACAAAGAACATGTTGTCGTCGACCGACATGGCAACGACATGTTCAAATGCTGGAAATTCCTACACCGCGAAATCAGCACGATGTCGTAATGACCTAGTCAACTACGTTTGTCAATGCGGCCAACACAGTCTCGGCCATCGACGAGGTCATGTGCATGCAATCGATCAAGCATGAACGACGGATGCCGCACGCTACATAGTACAGGTCGGTCCCGAGGACCAGGCCTTGCTTGACTGACCAAAGTCGTCTTTTGGTCTTGCACATGCCAACCTGCGAGGAAGGTACACGTCAGGGGTACCCATCGTTTTGACCAGGGGTGCTGGGGACCTGGTTGACCACGTCAACCACATTGCTGACTGATTTGGAGAAGTCCCAGCGACGGGATCGCTCCGACCATTGTACACTCATCAGACTTCTCCATAATTTGCACGCACATGCACAGAGCTGCTTCTCTGATGGCGTCAGATACACTGCCACGTCGGCCAACGCGTGCGCTCGCAGCCATGCCATGTCATGCCTCATGGAATTGAATGCATGCATTTGGTTGGTGCAATTTCACACGCAGAGTGACCAATCACAGTCGACGACGCTTCGGGATTAGAGCAGCATTTTGATCACGCAACGGGAGGAACTTCCGTCGCGAACTGGAAGCGCCTGGCACGTTCGATATGGCCGTGGCGGCGTAGGGACGAAAAGAAGAAGCGACTGGGGGGGCCACGGTGGTCCGCGCGCACATCCCTCACTTTCAATTCGTCCACCAAACCCAAAGCACCTTCCATTCATGACCCGAACTGCCCCACACGTCGCTTCGTCCAAGGCCGCATGCCCCTTTGCCAACGTGGACCTGGCTCTTGGAATCGATGACCCGACCGATTATGTGGTCGCATGCCCTTTCCACTCCCATGCAGCCGCCCCGATAGCGTCAATCACAACGCCTGTTGACCTCGTCGTTCGCAATAGTACTTTCATCACCACCGATACTAGCGCTTCCCTTCTCCGTGACATTGGAGGAGGTGACAAGATACGAGAGTGTTGTACGCGGTTTTACGCCCATGCGTTCTTGGACTCGCAGTTGAAGCCATTCTTCTTCGAAGACGATGGAGCGACGGCCCACGGCCACCGCCTCGCCAATTGGATCATTGAGAAAATGGGCGGCGAAGGGAAGCCGTGGACTGACAGTGGCCGTCTCGGCATGCGTCAACGCAGCCACAGCAAGGCGTGGAATTGTGTAAAGCGTCACGAAAGCGTACGAGGCGATCATTTTAACTTGGTGGACGCACGGACATGGATGCGAATCCACTTTTGGGCCGCGAGGGAGTGTCGTTTACACCGTCACGAAGCGTTCTGGCGCTGGTACATTCGGTTTCTGCAGCATTTCATTGCCGTGTACGAGCGACGAGCGGTGCCATATGCAAACGATGACGCGAATTGGTCCAAGAAACAGTCCAACCTCGACGCCTACATTCAATCCAACCACACAATGCTAGACTTGCATGGCTAAACAAAACGATGAAGATCCGTGTGCACCCGTCGTTGCGACTTGAACCAGTCGCCACCCTGATACGATTCACACACCTGGTGCATCATGTCATTTCTCACAACGACATCGAAGTTTAGCGTCAGAGTTCGTGCTTGTCCTCTAAGCTCATGTGCAGTTTCATTTCCCCAAGATTGATGCAGTGTGTCAAGGTCTGAATTCAAAAGTTTTGAATAGCCTCCGAAATCTAATGAGTACTCCCGAGTTTGGTCGCAGATTCCCTGCCGTGGTAAGCGCCGCCCTCGAGGATGACCTGCCCCAAGGGAGATCGGTGGTCGTCGTTGCTATATATATGTTAATACACTCGACTAGTTCTATCAATGCCGCTAACTCCCCTGCTGTTCGACTTCATCATGGACTCGACGACTCGCTTGGGCCAATTCCACCACTTGGCACTGCTCTGAGTGTATTGTGTGTACGGGCGAGATCGGATGCCTGCAATGTGGGAAGAATCTCTAGCCAAATTCGAAATCGACGATGGCCGCGGGCTTGTGTACATGTAACTCGAGTCGACGTCGAAGCCGTCCATGGGGTCGATGCACGCCATGACGACGGTCGCGTCTTCATCCCAGCACGACTGGACTGACCAGTGGATCACGTTGAACGAGATGGCCGCACCAAGGCCGAGTTCGATCCCGATGTCTCGTGCGAGCTTGGCCACGAGTTGCAGGAACGGATGGGCAAACTTCAGCCCGGCGCCACGGTGGTCGTACAGCGTTGTGGTGAGGAAGATGCGGTGGCCAAGGCGAGCAGCGTGGCGATAGTTGGGCATGTTGCGCGCCAGTTTGCCATAGGACAAGTGGTGTCGCAACCCCGTGCCTTCAACTTCAGGCGCGACGAACGCGGTGCTCAAGTATGTGACAATGTCTTTGCCGGACTCAATGCGAGGCAGGCGCTGGCCAAGTGCCGCGGGTTGGAACGACTTGGACGGCACGTGGAAATAGCCTTGGGCGACAGCGCCAGTTTCATGGAGCCTTGTGCGATCCCACAGAAAGACCGGGCATCCAATGTGCATGAGCAGCTCGGTGGTGTGCTTCGTCCGGTACACTGTCATGTGGCGAACGGTGCCAACGACACTCGCCACCAAATCCGTCGACGACGCGGTGGTAGGCTTGGACGTTTCGGCAACAGCTAAAACGGCGTCGTCTTCTGTACAAAATGACGCCGTTTTGCCCCGCAGGCGAATGGCAACAGCGAATTCACCAGCTTCCGCCCACTCGTTGAGCTCTTCCATGCTCAACGGGGTAGCCGCATTCGCTTCAAAGTCCCACAGTTTGAGGATGGACGCTCGCAGGACCTGCAGCTGGGCGGGGGTGACTTCATGGAGGATGTAGTTGTATCCGTCGGCGGTCGCTGCCTTGGATAGCAAGTCAAGGGGCATGTTGTCGGCGACCAAACGAATTGTAGAATGTGCAACACTTGTCGATCTCAGTGAAGGCGCTATTGGGTTCATGCGCGTCAATGGCAAGTGGTTCTCTGATTGGCCAAAGGTCGATTAAATTCCTATTTGGGTGATTGGATTGGATATTATTCGTGACAACTTGTACGTTGTAGCTCGCTGCCTAAATAGAGACGGCACCGCAGGTTTGGGTAGTGTAATTTATGTTGCACGGCCAGGAGGGGGCGTGCGTGTTGTGACAGAGTGTGCAATGGGCACCGTCGATTCGTTGCATACGAGAGAAGTGGCGGTGCCGAGGTCTCGAACAGAGTCGAGCAAAGCGGTGGACGTCCCATCCAGAATACTACTGGCGTGTGGCACACCCAGTTGTTGCTTGACTGTCGCAAGCTCTAGCGCATGGAGCGGTCCGTGCTGGTTGAATCTAGACAAGTTCCTCCGGAACTGAGACAGATCGTCGAAGTATGGTAGAACGTTCGATTCTGTTGGTTTTGAGGCGTAATATTCTGCCAACGGACGAGATTCGATGGCAATGGCTCCACCGACATGTCGTTTTTGACGAGCCATCCACGCTGAGAGAATGTACCGCACTCATGGCACGTGCACTCGACCTGAAACATCGCGTCCAAGCCGGCAGATGACGTCCTGACGAGCCGAATGCTTCGTTCGAATGTTCCGCGTCGAGGCATCTCATACAAGTCTGCGGAGGGCGATCGATGGACGACTCGACCATCAGCGACGAGTGCAGGTTGGTCTGGCAAGAGATGCCAGTCTGCGCTCTCCATCCCTCTGGCTGAGCGGCACTGCTTTTACAAATCTCCTGATCTCTAGACACACTATCGAGTTCCCAAAACAACATGCACATATGCACAAATATCCCTCATCGTCCTAACAAAGGTTATCTTCATTCTGATTGATTGTTGTTTTCAGAGTAATCCGATAGAAATGATCATAGGGATAGATATCACACAATCGCACTCCCATCTCCACGTTCTCCTTCTCGCTAGTCGTCAAATTCAACACTGACGATCTTGGCCATAGGGCCGTGCTTTCCGGACTGGCCATTCAATTTGTGTCGACCCCTACCCCTCCATCAGGTATCCGGATGCTTTGGATGAATACATACACTAATTCCCGGGAACAGTTGATCGGGGGGAGGACAGGCAGTCACGTTTCACTGGTAACACTATTTGAAGAAAACGTTTCGCCAGGCGTTACCTCGGTGGGTAGTGCACGATGCCACCGCTTGGGGGCAAGCCACAAATGCGTGCTGCATGACGAGAGCGATAACGTTGTCCAGTCTCCACGGCTGAAGCAAGCATGCTTGCGTTGACACAGTTCCGCTGGGGACACCGCGTAGGGGCGGTCGGCATCTCTAACCCGTGCGCCACGATGGAACGACATGATGTCTGCCAACCAAACTCCACGATTTGAATTTGCCGCTGCAGCGAGAAATTCACGGGTGGTGCTAAGAATAGCAGGGAGTTTCGCGAAAACCAGGTTCATCCCCTTTCCGCGTACACCGGGCCGACCACGCCCTGATTGTCGGTGGAATATCGGGGGATGAGCCACAGACTGTCCCAGAATGCGCGGCACACGAAGGAGCTTTTGCAAGAACTTGAGCGCGACAAAGAGCTCGACGTGCTGCGAGTGTACTTAACCAAATACAACTTATTTCCTCGAAAACGGGACCCCAAAACGGCGCCAATCCGGGCCGAAGAACTTCGTGACCTGGTCAAGCACTGGAAACTCCACCGCCAGCGAAACTTTTGGAAAACTCACGCGACCAAAGAAGAACTCGTCCGGACGCTGTACAAGTACATCAATACCAAAGTTCTCCCGTCCGAACGAATCGGCGACAAAAGCGTCGGCGTAGCGGCGACCTTGTCCAGCCCCACGTCGACATCCAGTCCCGCGACACCCATCGTGCCCGAGAGACCAAAGACACCCGTACCTGAAAGCCCAGCAAAGAAACCACTCGTCGACAGGAGGCTATCGAACCGCAAGCTACACCTGGCAATATCATCGTCCAAATCGCCTAGTCGCCGGGGGGCGTTCCTCTTGGAGTCGTACTTGGGCGACTTGTTTGGCCAGCGTGGAGACTACGAAGATGGCATGATTTACCTCTCGCGGCTTGGCAACGTCGACGTCAGTACGTTGATACAGTCGCGTCAAGCAGAGATGCAGCCTTGACGGAAACCTTTCTAGCGTCTAGGGCCGACAATGGAGATAGAGACACTGGGGACGAAAAAAGCACACCCAAGTCGAGGCAAACCGTGTTCTCGACGCCAGCGTCCCCAACAGCATCCGCCGCGGCTGCAAACAACATGTCGGAGCCGTCGACTGTGGTCGAGCGCATGGACGAAGACTCATCGACGCGGGAAGTTCGCATGAAACAAGAATGCGCGTCCAGCTTGTACCAAGTACGTACTCCATGTGCCACAGATCGCGAAGTCAAGACTTCCGGGATCAACACACGGTGTGTCATATAGCTGTCGCTGCATGTCGGCCATGAAGCTGGAATCGTCCAGGAAGGGTGCGTCCCGGCCCTCGTGCGACTCAGTATGTTCGACGACTATGACGTCAAGAAGTACGCCGCTGCCGCGACCGTCAACTTGACGTGCAATGCCGCTCTGTGTCCGCGCATGCTGGACGATGGCCTCTTGGTGGGCCTCATGGAGTTCTCCAAAGTGCAGCAAGAGGACATTCGCCGCAACGCTGCGATCGGGATGTGCCGGATATCGTACGACCGACCGGGGCAGCAGCGGCTGCTCCATGAAGGCAGTGTGCCTGCGATGATTTCGATGCTCAACAGCTCCGACAACGAGACGAAAGAAGCTTGCATCAAAGCGATCGTGAATATCGCGGGATTCTCTGGTGAGGGTGGTTCCGTTTCCGCAGCCGATTCACCCGATTATTGCGTGGGACGTAGGCTCGGTCATCTCTGAGTCTGTCGTGTACACAATGGTGAAGATGGCCGGCCCTCGGCGACAAGACGGATCGTGTCTGCGATTCATGGGGGAGACGATTTGCAACCTGTCCCTGTTGTCAGGTCCCCGCGTGAAGGTAGGCAGTCCATCGGACTCAAGTCGTTCGTGTGACTCCAACGTCCGTAGGCGGTCGAAGACGGTGTGCTTGAGCCGCTGTCACTCATCGGCCACCACGCAACGGACGTCGAGATTCTTCAGCTGGCAGGGACAGCGCTGTGCAACTTTTCGACTGTCGAAGCAAACCACCCACACATGAGCCAGCCCCGCGTGCTCAAATGCCTCGAGGTTCTCTTGGACGTTCCCGATGTGTCCATTCGAGAGCTCGGTGCGGTCACGGTCGCGAATCTGACGTGCAGCCCCGAATCGCTCAAGGCAATGATTCAAAGCAACATAGCTCTCAAGCTGATTCAAATTGGGTACACGACCAACGAAGTCATCCAAGAAAACGTGTCGCTAGCGCTGTCGAACCTGGCCATGAGCGAGGAAGACAAGGAACTATTCTTGACCCGCAGCGGCGTAGTCATGATGCTCCTGCAATTCCTCAAGTCTGGCAGTGCTGGCACACAGGAAAATGCCGTGTGCACACTGTGCAGCCTCATGACCCACGAAAGCTCTCGCAGCGAACTCATGCAATGCGATATGATCGGTGTGCTTCTCAAACTCGCGTCGTCACCGCTCCCCAAAACGCGGGAGCTAGCCGCCATGTCCATGCTCAACTTCTCCGCCCACACGGACTTGAGCCCGTACCTCCTCGCCCCCGATACGCTCAAGTCGCTGATTGCGCTCCTCGTGGGCGACACCGACGCCAACGACACGAACCACATGAAAGACACTACGGTGACCCTCACCCGCATCCAAGACTACTGCCTCAGCTGCATCTACAACCTGTCGTTCTATTCCGCGAGCCGCGCCGCCCTCGTTGCCGAAGGCTGCGTCAGCGTCCTCAGTCACGTCTTTCGCAAACCTTCCCGCGTGATCGACCAAAACAAACGCGTGGTCGCGACCGTGTGCAACTTAACGTTTTGCGTGGATGCGCAGGCCCGCATCGTCGCCGACGACGGTCTCCGCCTCGTGAAGCGACTCACGGCGCACTGCGCGATCAAAGAAGTGCTCATGTGTGCGTCAACTATTCTATGCAACGTTGCGACCGTCGCGATCGAGTTGCCGAATTCGCCCGTCCTGTCGATGCTGATCGACCTGTCCCACACCGCCCACAACGACATCTCGCTCAACTGTGCGATTGCGTTCAACAAGCTCGCCGACAACCCAGGGTATGCGGACGCGCTGTCGAGATGCCCGGAGCTGGCGCCGTCGCTGACCATGATGATGCGGTCGGGAGTGGAAGAGGTCCAGATTCATTGCGCCGCCGCCCTGTGTGGCCTCGCCAGCGACCGAACGTCGAAGCTGCACCGAACCATGTGGAAGGACAGCGCGATCAGTGACTTCATCGTGAACTCGCTGCTGCGTATCAACAGCGACTCGACCAAAGAAATCTGCGCCCGAGTCCTCTTCAACGTCCTCACGCACAACGATGGCCGCGCCGGGTTTATCAAAGATGGCGTGCTGTACGCCCTCGTCAAACTTGCCCGCCTCGACAGCGTTGAAATCCGCACGCTGTGTGTTACAGCTCTGTACAACTTGAGCTGCGACGAATCGATGGTGCCGGTGCTCATGGACATCAACGTGGCGCAAGTGATTTCCAAGATGTGCGAGAGCGACACCAACACGGAAGCCAACCGCCAGCGCCTCGCGTCGTGCCTCACAAACATTGCGCTTTGCCCAGGAAACGAGACAAAGCTCATCGAGGGTGGCGTGCTAGGCGCGATTGTGCTCCTATGCGACCACGGCGACCTGCACTGCCTGCGGTATTCAGCGTCCGTGTTATGCTCGATTTCGAATGTGGCCGACTGCTGCGGTGCCATGGCGTCGCTCGCAATCGTCGAGCTACTGCTGAAAATGATCAACTCGAAGGACGGCACACAGTGCATCTTTGCCCTCAACGCACTCTGCAACATGTCGTGCATCCCCACGAATCACGACAAGATCGAAGAGGCCGACGCGATATGCTCGGTTCTGCGCGTTCTGGACGAGGCCGAAGAGGAATCGATCTTGCTCACGTGCACCAAAATCATTTGCAACCTCTCGTTCGACCCCAAGCGCCATGCGCACATTCTCAAGTACCGGTTTGTCCGCACCATGGTCAAGGTGTTCAGCCAAGAGATTGTGTATCCGTCGGTGGCGGACGTCGCGGCCCGCATCTTGGCCACACTTAGCGACAACTCCAACGACATAACTGCCCTCGTCAACGACGGCGCAGTCCAAGTCCTTCGCGTTGCATCGCAGCACGGATCGTCTTCTGCAATATCGAACTGCATCGTGTCACTGTGTCGACTGTCGCGTGGTGGCCATAGCGGCATGCGCATTTTGGAGGACGGACTGTTTGACATCGTCGCGACGGCCGTCCCGCTCGACTACCCCCCGCAAGTTGGTCCTCGCCTGACTGCCACCACGTCCGAGCGATGTTCCATGATCCTGCGCACACTATCGACCTACTTGATGTGCATTTCGTCCATGGTCGCCGACCGCCGAATTGTCCCGATTGTGTCTGCTCTTGCGTTTCACGGAGACAAGGACACATGCACGAACTGCGTCATGCTTCTCCATAACATCACGGCAGCGCGCAACCGATCGTTTCATAAAGAAGCACGGCTTTCTGGCGTCATCCCGCTCCTCATCAAGCTGTCCAAAATCGGCCCCCCGGACGTGCGCCTTGTTTGTTCGGTTTCCCTCGCCCACCTGAATTCCGACCTCACCGACGCAGAGCGCGATGCCCAAGACGAGTTTGAAAAAGGGTTAGTTGCGACGCTCATCTCCATGCTCGACATGGATGCATCCATGATGCACACGGTGGAAAAAGCCGCGTCGGCGCTGCCGCCCCCGCTCGTCCTGCCGCCAAAGACTGCGCACGAATGGGAGTTTCTCCATGGAATTCAAAGCTCTCGAGTCCTCCAGCAGATCCCCATCGTATGGGCGACACAGTGCGCCACGATCGACGAAAGTCGATTTTGCCCCGCCGACCCGAGCGAGTACTTGACGATGCTTCCTGCATGCAATGCAAACCGAACCCCAACCATCAAGGACACATTGTTTGGCAAGTTTTGCGTTCTAAAAGTGTCTCCGGACAAGTGCTACATAAAGCCCGCCCCGCGCAACTCGCCCATGTCCCCCACGACGGTGCTGCGGCATCTCAGCTCGTCGTCAATCAACTTCCCCATGGTGGCCACGGTAGCGTCCCCGCCCACCTCGACCAAAACACCACTACAGCCAGGCATGTCGTCCGCTTCATCTATTTCCACTTCGAAAAATGAAGAAGCGGTGCGCCAAGGATCGGGGGCATCCGTCCGTGCTGCAAAGCCAGCGACCCCGAAGAAGTCCAAGCCATCCATTCACCGCTTGGGCTCCCAATCGAGCTCAGGAAAAGTCATGACGACACCAGCGCTGCCCGAGTCCTCGCAGAATGTCCACGTGTTGCCGCAAATACTCTAAGTTATTTGTAAGAGTTCATACAGCTCCTTTGGCCTAGGTGATGGACTCGTGGAGAATTGTGACGTGGGGCGGAAGGGTTGGAAGGGAACGTATGTCAAGGTGTAGATTGCCGCGAAGGTCAACGTGTTCAAGATGTGGTAGCTGCGCCAGCACGGGCGGCACACTTGACAGGTTATTGTGGGAGAGGTCGAGGAGACGAATCAACAGCAGCTTTTCAAGGCCATCGAGAGCCGAGTCGACAAGGTGATTGTGCGACAGGTCCAGCTCTTCCAGTTGCGGAAGTTCCGAGAACAGAGATGGTGGCAGCGCATGCAACCGGTTGTTGCTCACGTTGAGGGTTTGCAACTGCGGCAGCTTCTCCAGAACGATGCTGAAGCGACAGATGCATGCCTCGCCGACACGTTCGCACATGAGGTTTCGACACAAGAGGTCTTCGGACTTTTGAAGGACTAGGCTACGCACAGCTCCCATGTGCGTAGCGGCTTCTCGGACGCTGCGGGCGATCATGCTGAAGGCGACGACAAGGAGGCAGCGGCGTTCTTCCGCTTTTGGTACAACTGCCTCAGCTTCTCTGTGATTGGTGGAGCAATGGGTTTGGAATGGAGGCTTGGGATTGGTGAAAAATCAGACTGTTTTGTCCAATGAAGCGCTGGCTTCAAAGTTGAAGTGGCATGGCCAAACCCGCGTGCTTTGGACCGCAGATCTTGTGCGCGAGCGGGCGGATTTGAGTCGACTTGGCAGTGCACCGCCCCTGTGCAGTCTACCTGGGGGCTCGAAGTGCCTTTCGATCTACTCAAACCGTGGCTAGTTTGCGCCTGCAACTGCACACAAGTTCAAAATGACGTGATGCGAGCCCATGACAACTTGCCTTTTCCTGCAAGTACGCAATCGTTTGCTCTTGGATGGCGCTTGCTGCGGTTTGAGATGCTGTCAATGTTTCCAGCTCTTTGCACCGCTGCGCCAAAGTTACGAAATTCCATGGATTCGTAAAAGGGCAAGTATTTGAGAGCAAGAACACGAGATGTGTACCTGTCGAAGCTGCGCGTGGCTCGTTCGAAGACGTGCGTGCCGGGTTTGGAGGTGTCCGAGGGCCTCTTGAAGCTGGTGGTAGCAATCGTCGATTAGACCTGCAGCATGACGTGGTCGTGAGCTTACTTCAGACACCGCTCGCTTGTCTTGACGAGCGGAGACAGAGGTATTGTGTGAGGAGGACGCCGACCGGTTTGTCCGAGGAGCTCGGACGTGGCACGTGGTGGCGCAGTGCTGTTTCCAAATCTTGAGTTCATCAGTCTACAAACGATTCACTCCCACTCCGACGTATTCTCAAGTAGAGTCGTGACAGCGACGAATGCGTACAGTGTCTTTCAATTGTCGCCGCAAAGCGTCTACTTCGTCAAGGTGATGCGAAGATGGCGTGATGGAACTGGACAAAGCACGAGGTCCTCGTGGTACATCTGGAGTGTCAAAGCCCTTCCTGGCCCGTCAAGGTTACCAAACATAGGACTGGCAACCAGGTGCACCTGTTTTTCCGATTGGACTTCGTCATCGGCGGAGTAACTTCGTCGGCGGCATCCACACAAATCCATGGTCGGCGCGTCGTCAAACTGTGAAGGTGGGGTGTGCCAGCATTCGCCTCGTCTTCCCGCAAGATGCCCAGCAAGAACGGGTCTCTCGTGCGAAGTTGGGTGGGTTCGCGTTCCGGTCTACCAAGAGGCTGCTCCCATCCCGAGTTGAGCAGCGCAACGAGGTCGTCGCCTTCGTCCGACTCCATGTGCCGCTTGCACCTTAACTCCGCGTCGCCCAATCACGTGGCGTCGTGCGTCCTGATTGGCGGATTTCGATAGGGTGGATCCGCTTCCACCGACATGGTCGATGGAAGCATCGGAAGTGGATGGATCGAAGAGTCGACGAGGGCCTTGCTTGGTGGCGCACGGGGAGCTTCATGCATGACGCAAAGTTTGTTGTTGTTGCAGGTTGCTCGATCGTACCAATGCGCGGCGGGGCATTGTACGCTTGGTTTTCCACGCGACGACGTTGCCACTGGCACGATGGTAACGTACAAGCTGTCGATTGTGCAAGCCAGTTAGCTGTGCGGCGGACGGCGAGACGAGGTAAATGATCCGAACGATTCGTGGACGCATCTAGACATCGGAAGCGGGGTTTGCGATCACGCGACGAGATCGGCAATGTACAGATAGTTAGCTTAAATTTTAGGCAATACACTATCGTGGTCGTGAACCACGTTCGCCTTGCTATCTCCAGCCCGCAGATGCTTCACCGAGCCATTCTTGGCGAGCGAGATTTTCCTGGAAGACGCCTTGAGCGCATGCCCCCCCTTGACACTCCGACCGCTCGAGTTATGCTTGTGAGCTGTCTTCGAGGGCTTGCGCACCCCCAACTCGTCGTCGACATCGCCGCCGCCGCTTGGTGTGTGTGGGCTATGATGATGGCGTCGACCGGGGGTGTTGGGGGTTCGAGTCGTTCCGGCAGGGGACTTTGGAGGAGTCGTCATGAGCTCATCCAGTTCGTCTGTTTCGTGCACTGGGTCGGTTGAAACTGGCGCATGCGTCGGCTCTTCCACGACCGTGTCCACGATGTTGAGAATCGCGTCCATGCTCATGAGGGTGCGAGGAAGCGGCAACTTCATGCGACACTTCTCCGAGCTGACTTGCAAGATTTGGAACGCTCCAACCAAGTCTTCTTTGACGCTTAGGTGGAAAGCAAGGTGTTTCTGCGGCAGCATGTCCAAAAAGTGCGACGGCGCTTTTGGCACAAGCGTCGACTCGTCAATGTGGGCACTCTGAATCTGCCACGACACGGGGATTTGCGTCAACACCCTCGTCGCATTGGAACCTTGGAGAAAGTCGGTTCGAAGGCGGCTGATCACGAGAAGCGGGGGCATGGCAGTCGCCACTTTTTCCGCGCGCAGCATCGTGGGAGGGTCCATCTCGAGCATCGAGATCATCGTGCGAACGAGCCCCTTGTGGTACTCCTCGAGCTCGTGCCGGTCGGCTTCGGACAATTCACTGTTGATGTGGGCAAGGGCGACAGCGCAAATCTGGAGCTCGTCCGTGGTGCACACATTGGCGAGCTTGATGAGAAGGGGAATGACGCCGGAACGACGCACTTGGCGCTGAAATTCACGGCTCCGCGCAGCCGTGATGTTGTGCAAGAGCATGATGATGTTCTTGGACGTTTCCTTGTCGCCGTCTTTTGTAAGCGCAATTGCGAGCGGCATGAGCCGCGGGTCGGCCACCATCTCGGGAATGCACACGGCAAACGTCGACAGCGTCCGCAGGATCATCGAGCAGCGCTCCGTGAGGTCCGAGCCGAGTTTCCGATGTGTCTTTGGATCGTTCGAGAGCGGGATCGCAGCATTCAAGATGTCGAAGAGGCCATCTTGAATGACTTTGCATCCGCTGAGATGGCCCCGCGCGAGCCGAGCAAGGCAGATCACGCACTGCACGACGGTTGTGGCCTTGTCGCCGTCCCGCGACGCCATGTGCATCACTTCGACCGCCCCTCCCGCGACGAGGTGTTCGATCACGGATGCGTCTTCGCTCAATGTGGCCAAGATGCGAGCGTTAACGTCGGCGACGCTCTGGAACCATGTCTTCTTCAGCGCTTGAAGGAGCACCGGCACGTAGTTATGCTTGAGAATCGTCGCGTGGTGTTTCGGGTGAAATGAAAGGTTGCACAGAATTTTCGAGCATGTGAGCATGATGTCTTCTTCTTCGGCTTCGCCCAAGACTCGGATGATGGAGCAGATGGCTTCGGCCTCCTCGATCTTGTCGTGGAGCGCAGCAACACACGAAATGTTGCACAGCGCGTGGAGGGCAAAGAGGCATTGGTAGCTGTCGCGGGAGTTGGTCATTTTCAGGAGGAGCTCGAGGGCGGGAATCCCAGCCATGGCGTCACAATTGGCCGGCTGCGTCGCGAGCGAACACAGCACCGACGCGCTGTACCGCATGCATTCGACGTCGCCGTGGTCGCACAACAGCAGCACCGCTGTGAGTCCGCCGTTCTCCATCAGTTTGAGTTCGTGACCTGGCTGCAACGCAATGTTGGACAAGCATGCAGCGAGGCGTCTGCGATTGTCGACTTGGTTGAACTCGCCTTCGCACATCTTGGCGATCACATGCGCGACGTTGATGTCCATGAGGACTGGCACCATCGACGCGTCGCAGCTCAAGTTGTACAGCGCGGTGACGCACAGCGACCGGATCTCGACGCTGTCGAGGCGGGCGAGTTTGACGAGAGCGTATAGCACACCGTCCTTGATCATGTGCATCCGGCAGTCTTCGTGAGTTAGGACGTTGAAGAGGACGCGGGCGCACACTTCCTTGGTCGAGTCGCTGTTGATGCGAAGGAGCGAGTTCACGATGAAGTCGGTGATCGTGCCTTCCTTCCACATGTGGCGGTTGCCCTTTTGGCCGCGTTCGCAAGCAAGGCCGCACAACGCGGCAGCGCAGTGGATTTGTACTTCTTCGATTCCGGACCGCATCATCACTGTGAGCGTGGGGGGGAGATCGAGGACCTTGGCCAGGTTTTCTCGAAGGGTCGCCGTCGACGCGAGTTTCGAAAACGATATCGCACACACAAACGCAATGTCGGCATGAGGGGTGTGCGACAACTCGATGAGTTGGTTCACAACCACCGGGCCGGACGTCTGGAGCGCCGGAATCGCCATGTTGCACAGAGTCGTGGCAATGCACAACACAAGCTCCTTTGTTGTCGCGCTGGACGAGAGCCGCTTCAGCAGCTTGAGCGCGTCGTCGTCGAGCATGGCCGTGATCAAGGTCGAGTACGTACAAAACGACATGTTGCACAGCACGGCGGCTGCCCGCAAATTCGCGTCGGCGTTCTTGGAAGGTTTTCGGAAGACTTGATGGAGAGTTGCGACTGCATGCGACGAAATCAAGACCTCTGCGCTGCCAGGGTAGAACGACATGTTGTAAAGGCAGTTGAGGCAAAATTCCTGCGTCATCGACAGCGTGACCTCCGACGTGTCGACGGATGGCTTGAGGTGGCCCCCGGGGGTGCTCGGGGCCGCAGGGGGCGACAGAAGGTGTTTGAGGGCATCGATCGTTGTCGGAGCCAGGAGGTAGGGGCTCATGTCGGCAAAGCAAGACAGGTTAAACAGCGCCACCGCACACAGTTCTCGAGTCGCAGGGCTGACTGCCAGGGCGACGACGACTTTTATCACGTCGTGCTGAACAAGCTGGGCGCGAGAGAGGTCGTCGGCCATGAGCGCGCAAAGCAACACGACAGTGTGCCGCTTTGTGGTCGCGCTACTGGATTCGAGGAAGTAAATTAGGAGGAGCACGACGCCATTCTGGGTCAAGAGAAGGCGGTGAGCTTGATTGCTCAAGCCGATGCTGAGCAATGCGGCCGAGATGTTTTCTTGCAGCGCGGCCGTGGCGCTGTAGCCCGACTGGATGAGCCGAAGGGGCAGGTTGAACGCCTCCCCGACCGACGCCACGAGCTTTGGGATGAACTCGGCCGTGCACGCGATGTTGGACACGGCGGTCGACGCCATTTCTTTGATCGATTCGTCGTCCACGCCCAAGAGACTGTCCAGTGTATGCAAGATGCTCGGGTTCACCATGTGCTGGTGATTGGTCTCGAGACCGGAAAAGTTGCTCAGCGCTATCGCCATCATGCGCTTCAAGTCGACGTCTGCATTGTCCCGATTGATGTCAAATATGGGCAAGAGAATGCCGTCGTCCGCCGCCTAGACGCCAAGCTCGGTCAATTCGAAAAACGGGCATCAAGACCGCGCCAACCTTGGCGCGAGGGCCCGACAGCAATGACATATCGCAAATGGTTTCCACAATGAAGCGGTCGTACGCCGGGTCCTTCTTGGCCGCGATGCGCGTCACCGTGTGCGTGACAGACTCGGACACGACGGACCCTGCCGCCACGTCAGCGAGGCAGAGTCGTCTCGACCCGTACCTGAAAACGACGAGATGTTGACGAGGGTCTTGACACATGCTTCCTTGGTTTCAAAATCCGTGTTGTTGAGCATGGAAATCAGCGCCGGGACACTCCCTTCCTGGATCAACTTGTGTTGTCCCTGTCGGTCGTACGAGATGCGGCAAATGCCGATGGCAGCATTGCGTCGAATGTCTTCCTGCTGCACTTTGGCGAGTTCCATAAGCCCACTCAGCACACCCTCCTCGATCAAGCGACCAGTGAGCGAACTGTCCACGGACACGTTTACAATCGTGGCAGAGCAGTATTTCTTGACATCCAAGTCGTCAAAGGTACACATGCGAACGATGGCGGGAATGCATCCTTCTCGGACAATGGCAGCTTCGTGACCAGGCTCTAACGTCAGCTACAGCCACAAACGTTGAATCCACGAGTCGCAAGATAGGGCCATGCACGTACCTGATACAAACTGCAAGCACACTCTGTCATCAGACGCTTCTCTCGTCGAGTTGAGTCTTCGTCAAGAATGTTCAATTGCGGCGACAACACTGAGTCCTTTGTGGTCGAGTCGTCGCCACCATCCTGGACGAGGCTTTGAAAAGATAGGTCTGTTTCCGGCGGGGCCAAGCGTGAGACATAAATCATGCCGCTGTCATAGTCCCCGCGCTGGGCAAATAGATCGCCGCCATACGTCCCCAGCGCATTCAGTTTGCTTGGGCTGACCTTGGACAACAATCCATTGTAAGGTTCGGACCCGGTCGTGAATCGTGACGTGCGGCGAATCTTTGACGGACTATCCATTGCCATGCCTCCACTCTGTGGACGGGCGGGGGATTGAGGGGCCATGGGTACCATATTTGCCGGTGGCGTCGTCGGTGTAGCTGATTCTGGAATCAGCGGCGTCTTTTCGTTCGGCAGGACTTTGGTCGTAATATGTTTGTACAGCATGCGCACAAGATCTTCTTTCGTCGTGTGATTTTTCCAAAAGTTGCGCTGTCGATGGAGCTTCCAAAACTTGACCAGGTCGCGCAACTCTTCGCTGCGAATAGGGGCCGACTTGGGGTCCCGTTGCCTTGGAAACAAGTCAAACCGAGCAAGGAAGATACGGATCACGTCCAGCTCTTTGTCCCGCTCAAGATCTTCCAGGAGTTCTTGCGTGTGCCGCGCCGCTTGAGACAAGCGGTGGCTCATGGTGTCGCCAGGCCAAGCCACAACTACGCCGTTCCATCCTCTTCTGTGAAACCAACACCTATTTATAGATGCGTTACGTCATGGGTCCAAAATGGGCAGCCAATGGGGGCCTCTGAGGCCAAATATGTAACATACTTAAATCAAAATATGTACGACACATATAACATACAAAATAATCTGTGCAATAGCAGACCAGTTCATCTTACAACATTAATGCTTGCTTAACTTTGCTTAATTTATACTCTTACACAAAGTGCAAGGTCGGTGGGCTGAGGGACCGCCGCCATGACGAGCATGTAGCCACAAAGAGAGATGGCGCTGCGATCGTTCAGGAAAGACACGTTGCAAGGTACTATAGCTCCAATTCGCGCATGCCCATGGCCATGCTGAGTGTAGACAATTGGTACGAGGAGCGGTCGGGGGCTCTCCAGGGGGTGCTGCCCTTTGACGGAAAGGTATGGCGCGAATGGGGCTGGATCAACTTTGCCACGACTTCCTTCTAGAACGATTACTGCACGACCAACGAGCACGACTTTGTGAACCCGAGCGACCTGAAAGTTCGAAACGAGCTCCACAAAAACGTGGTGCGCGCGTCGTCGTCCTAGCTGGCATGCAGTGTGTGATGCAAGCCCATGCGCAGGACCTACGCATGATTCGCCGAGACAACTTTGAACAAGCCGTGAAATCCCGACCGCTGCGAGATCGACCAGAGAGTGGATTTGGAGCTGTTTTACCGTCGAGAGATCCAAATGTGGACAACAGATATCTCGAAACAAGTAACCAAGTGACATTTGGAACGATGGTACCGACGAGCACCTTGACTGTGCCCAGCCACCAACAAGGAGTCGCGGGGGGGGCTGGAGGTGCGCGCGTTGAACGTGGCAAGGCAGCGTCCGGAGCGTCCGGTGAAGTCATCAAGGTGAATTCTGACCCTCAGAAAGACACACGAGCACAAAGGTCGTGGATGTACTCGAAGGACCCGATCTTCGATGCGAAACGCGCAATTCCCGAAGCGGCAAACCAGGTCGTGGCCAAGCCAGCGCACTTTCGCCGTCAAGCAACAAGTGTGACCACCGTCAATACAAAGAAGGGTGGAATCTTCTCGGACGACTAATCCCAATGCATTCGTTGATGCGTCTTGTCCATGGGCTTGTACCAATAGGGAAGTCTTGCAGGTCGGTACGACGTGCCACACACACATACAACTTGACTTGGCATTCGACCACGTGCAACGTGTATAGCTTCCTCTTGGGGATCGACGTGAGCAATTGAATCACGGCGACTCGATTCCATCGAGTTGTCTCGATCGCTCGTACATAAACTCATTCAAAGGACTCATATCCTTGCATCGTTCCCGCTCGCTTGCTTCTGCCCCACCACGTTCGTCTACGAGTAGTTTGTGCCTTGCCAACTCGTGCGCGCCCGCAAGTGGACTTGCCTTGTGCGCTGCACGTTGATACTTTATTGAAAGGTGCAAACTGCTCGCGAAACTTAATTGAATCAAATTTCGGAACTTTGCCTGCGATTGGCTCGTTTCCGGGTCAGGAGTTGTTGCCATCGCATTGGATTCCATTTCTCGGCGCATGTCAAGCAACTCGAGCACGAGCAGTGGATCCGCCGAATGGTGCTCACCAGAGCTGCTTGAGGGCCTGACCATCAACGCCACAGCCAACAGTACCACGTGTGGAACCGCCGACACGATTGCCGTCGACTCGAATGCCCAACAGTCCATCAACTTGTGGACCGAAGGATGCAACGCGACATCTCCTGCGACGGCAATGCCGTGTCGGCTCGAAGCGTGCACACGTCTACAGGACTCTATTCGAAGGCTACCGCTCAACGTGTCGAGCTGCATGCTCGTGAACGGCACAAGATTGATCGACTACCGATGGTACTTTGCTCCCCATGTGTCACCGTCACCGTCGCCTGCTTCCACATCGCCCGATATCACGTTACCACGAGTCGACAGTAAGGTCACGATTTCGACTGAAGTTCCATCCAGCGCCGCTCAAGCATACCCATTCACGACAAGTGAACGAGAATCGTCTGTGGAGATCACGTCCCCCGTGTCAAAACTGACGTGGTTCTCGGCCAACAGCGTCTGGATTGCGGCGAGCATCGTGGGTGCCATGACGCTCTTTGTTCTCGTAATTCTATTTATCCATCGGCGGCGGCACCACAGCGCCACAAAACCCCCGCCACCAACCGACTTTTCAGTCTACTATCCCGTTGCCAACAGTCCCGTACCGTCGGACGCCGTCGCCAAGAAGCGAAAGTTTCCGGTACCGTCGACGCCAGACCAAATCGAGCTTGACGCGACGATGATGAAGCTTGGCGTTACCCGCATTGACCATCGCGAAGTCATTCGAGAACAGTTGCTTGGTGCAGGCGCATTTGGCGAAGTCTGGCTCGCGACGTATCGAGGCCGGCAAGTCGCTGTCAAGACTGCGCTCTTAGGTTTCCAAAATCGCCACATCCCTCAGTACCGATTGAGTGATATCCAGCACCTCATCGACGAAATCAGCCTCATGTCGATGTTCAAGTCTCCGTATGTTGTCGAGTTTGTGGGAGCGTCGTGGAAGCGCGTCGGCGACCTCGCCTGCGTCATGGAGTACATGAATCAAGGCGACCTGCGGGACAAGCTCGAATCGACGACTCGTGCAACGTTTTCGTGGACTGACAAGGTGCAGTGCATGCTGAGCATCGTCGAAGGCCTCGTGTATGTGCATTCGTTCGACATTATCCACCGAGACCTCAAGTCGCGAAACGTGCTGCTCGATTCCACACATGGCACGAAGCTGACTGACTTTGGGATCGCGCGAGAAGACACCCAAGACACGATGACGATGGGCGTCGGAACGTACCGATGGATGGCTCCGGAGCTGCTGCAGGACAGCCACTACACCGTCGCCGCCGACATGTACTCATTCGGTACGAGCCCGCTTGACCGACGCATGATCACAGTCGTATCGCTTTAGGCGTGCTCGTGTCCGAGCTCGACACTCATTGCATTCCGTATTCGGACCAGACCAACGTCAAGGGTCGCCCACTCGCCGACACCACCATCATGGCCCAAGTGATGTTGGGAACGGTGAAGCCGACGTTTTCCGTCGAGAGCCCAACGTGGGTGCGAGACCTCGGGATGCAATGCCTATCCCACGACGCTGCGGCGAGGCCCACGGCGATACAGGTGTCGATGATTCTCCGACAACAAATGAAGCTCCTAGTTATTTAAAGTCACAAACGGTCCTGGTTACATCGTGAGGAGGAACAAGTTGCTGCCACAGCGCTGCAAACTCGTCGCTTGTATTCGACGGCAAGTGAGCGACGACCCGCATGCCTGACGTTGGATCTGCATACAGCTGAAACAAGTACGGAAACGCGCCATACGGACTCTCGAGCTGATCTACAGCACAGCGCAAATCTGCCAAAGCGGAAGGAACGTCTGGAAGTAGTGGCAATGAACAAAAGTTGTAGCAAGACAGGTTGGTCACATACGTCACGCCCGCAGTCGAGTCGGCTGGCTCGTTCCAAAAGATGCGAGTCCATGGGGTGGCGTAGATTGTGGCCAAGTCCGCGACGACGTGGAATTTGGACGACTCGACGGCTTCACGACAAAGATGGGCAAGACGGGTCGTGGAGGACGTGGCCGCAGGGGCGGCGGGGGAGTCGGACGCTACAATCGAGTACACCATGTTGCCCGTTACGTGAGGAGGCAGATGCAACACACGGCGAAAGTTGAGTAGCATGCGCAAGTGCGACGGTCGGTTCACTCGGGTTGAAAGGGATGACGTGATTCGCCAAATCAGAGCAGACACGGCGTCGTTGGTGCTGATGCGATGCAGGTGCCATGCCGACGACGCCGTCGCTTTGAGATGACGGAGTTGCGTTGACGAGAGGCGATATACACTCGACCGCACGACGCGTGCGCCTTTTGCGACAGCTTGATAGGCTTTGGGAGTGGACGACACAAAGAGCCACTTGGACGGGGCGGCCAAGCGCAATGGATGGTTGCAAATGGCTGGATAGATCCAATCGTGTGGTCCCTGAAACCACGAGGGTGCATCTTGTCGGCGACGTTTGCAAGTCGTCGAGTGCGCAGAGTAGTTGGATATGGCGGCCGCCCAGCACGAGAGGAACTCAAAGCAGGACGCGCCGTCGGCAATTGCATGTGCAAATTCTGCGCACACAATCGTGCCTCCACCATGCAAATGCACGACAGACACATGCAGCAGTGGCGTCGCCTCGCGAATGAGGCAGCGCACGTCGCGATGACCTGCGTTGGGAGACGTTGGAGAGCGAAAACAGTGGCTGACGATGCGTTCCCGCGCTGCCCAATTGGACGATGTCGGGGACACCACGATATCGTGCAGTGCCAACGGGCTTGTTCCTTCCGAGAACATGGCTCCACTCGTTTCGGAGTCCACTCGTACGCTAAAGCGAGACGCCACTGCATGAGACGTAGAAGGCGATGTCCAATGCATCCGGCCGGCAAAGATGGGATGATACGACAGCGCGGTGGCCAGGGATGATCGGAGGATGGCCGCGTCATGCACAGACGCGGCATAGACCAAAGTGATGGGTAGCCATCGTCCGGCTGAAAGGAGCTCCAGCGGTCCTAGCCGCAGTACCAACGATACCAAGGGCGGTTCCTGCTGTATGCGATCGGAGGAGCGCCACGTCGTCGGCGGATATGCTGGCAGCATCAATAAAATGCACGAAAATATCCCGGAGTGGTTCAACTAAACAAAATCCGATCCGCGAAAATATTCCCGTGCCCAATGCTGAGGCAGCGTGCCGCAGAGGTCGATCGAGTTGAAAAGTGCCATAATCCAGCGAGAAAGAATGCAAATTTAACGGTGTGCTCTACACTATCGAAACAACATGACGAAGTTGCCCAACTTGGCTATCACAACTAGTACGACGTCCAGTCGCGCTTGACTGGTCGCTGGTCGCCTTCCAACGAAATTGAGATCGGCGGAGACACTTGTCGAATGACTGCGCCGTGGTCTGGGTGTAAAATCAAGAGGGCGAGTTTCGACACGTCTAGGAGGAGCTTCGTGTCGTTGATGGCCATGTAGTTGAAGCGACCGCAAATGTCCGTGTATCCGTCCTTGTAAAACTTGGCTGACTTCGATGAAGCCTTGGTGCGAACAAACACTTTCACGTACGCCTTGCTCAGGGGACGGCGACCAGCAAACACTTGCACCAGTCCTTCGTCCAGTGAAAAATGGACGTCCATCGAATCGCAAAAGTGCGGCTTCACCATTTCCAGCTCCGGATATCCCACCGGGGACGCGACTACGAGCATTTGGGTCGCCTCCAGCGCCGGAGGTACACTCATCGTTGTCGCCCCTCCAGGCGACAGCACAATCTCAGTCGTCGCTCGGGGTTGAATCAAAGAAATGCACGACGACACTCTAGCATCTTGTCCAGCGAACGGTTCCCTGGAGAACATCACCTCGACGTCGACGGGGTAGTACTTAATGACGCACTTGTCGACACGGGTACCACGTTGGGTGATTACAAACGACCCCTTCTTCATAGTCAACTCGATCGACACGTCTTGGTCGGACGATGACGGGACCGACACCACCGACGTTTCCTGCGTCAGCTGGTCCAGTTCGTTCAGCTGGTCCTGCAAACGCTTGAACAAGTCGCCACATCGATGGCGGGCAACGTACGCTGCCTTCGCGTATTTCATCGCAACGGCTCGAGCAGTCGGAAATGTAGGATCGTCGCGGAAAAAGTCCAAAAAACCATTCATGTAGTCGTATTGCAACGGGAAGGTCTTTGCAGCACGTTCCGTCACTCGACCAAATAGGTCCAGCGCCTTGTCCATGCGGTTCAGCAACACCATGAAATAGACCAACACCAAGTAGTGCTCGTCGGCTAGCTTTGGCAAGAGACACAGCGTGTGACACAAAACGCGGAACGCTTCTCGAATGTCTTGGTTGGGGATGACCTTGTTGCCTTTCATCAAGTGCGTGCGGCGAAGAATGAACGGGGTAAATTCAGCAAATTCGAGGCACATGTCGGCAAAGCGACCCTCTGTGTTGAACACAGCCAGTGGCAGTAGCGACGGCAGCGACAAGCCTGGGCCAACTTCGTACGCAGATAACCGACGTTGCATCAGCTCAGCCATGGCCACGGTGTCGTTGAATAAGAATGAGTACTGCCATACAACCTCCGAGTACACGAAATGTTGGCGCAAAAACTGCAACAGCGTTTCGTACGTCGCTCTGTCCTTGAGACGCCACGCTATGGTGATCCAGTCCACGCTTTCGAGCTTGTGGTGGGAGCGCAAAAAGTGCAAAACTGTCTCCAGGCTTCCGCGAGACGAAACATCTTTCCAGGACGTGATGTCAACCGTCTTGGACTCCGCGACCACCGTTATGGAGCTTGGAGACATGGGAGATTCGTCTGCCCATCGCACTGTTTGACCTCGAATCGCCACGTGGGCGGCAAAGTGGGAAAATATGCCTTCCATAGGAAAGTAAAAGTACACCACTGTCGTCTCCGTCTCATTGCCGGACAAAGTAAAGGTTGTGTTCCTCGTGTAGTAGCTACCGTGGCTGACGGGAATCGCACCTTCGGGGATCTGCACTAGTAAGTTGAGCGGTGGAGTCGCCAATGGACTCAAGTTGCTCACAGTCACTTGAAGCCCGTACCGTGTGGCGCGGACAAACTCCTTCACGAGCTTCAGCTGTCCTTGGGTCAAATTCGAATCTCGCGGGTCGAAAATTGTTTGCGTGACAATCAAGTTTGATCCAACCATTGCGATGTCGTCGGAGAGGTCTTGTTCCGATTGGGGCCGAATATCTTCAAAGAACACAATGACTGGTGTCGTCGTGTTCATTTCCAGAGTCGTCGGATCTGCTGGAGTTGTACGAGTCGTCCAGGTCCCACCAACAAACGGCAAATCCAGCACCGCCAACGCCAACATCGATTCTGCGAATGTCGAACACGCTTCTGGGAATGATGCCGAGAGAAACTTATTTTCCGGCGACGGCACCAAGAGGTGGCGGGCATAGTCCAACCAAAATTGATTGATGCCAGACCCTGTCCATGCTTTGTCTTGAACAGCCTGCTGAGTCGGGACAAGTCCTCCACAATGCAATTGTGGCTCGTCCTTTCCATCGTGGTATCTGCGCTCTTTGACCTTGTACGTGGCTCCTGGAGCTTGAAAGATTCTTCGTTTCTTCATTGTTGGTTCAATTTTGGTTCTAGAGTTGTCGTCATTACCGTCCCCGTCTTCTTCACTAATGTGTTCCCAGCTTTCATCATCGCCGTCTTCGTCCGATTCGTCTTCGTCCGATTCGTCATCGTTGCTTGTCATTTGCATTGCAGCTGGCATCGAACTGGCCGCAGCTCCAAATGAAAAACCCATATCCCTCGATAGTGAAGATTTTTGCAAGGATCTCGTGTTCGCTCGAAAAGCCATTGTTCGAGTCTGTGGTTGTCGGACACTGAATCCTGAACTGGTCGGGTTGTAAGCCGGACTCGTTGGGGAAAATAATGGTGCTGTAGGGGAGTACGCTGGCTCAGGTTGATCGTCTTCGCGATATTGTACCAGGTCAGTTTGGTCTGTGCTCTTGGCTGTCATCACGTGCTCGAATACCGTGTCCAGTTTCGTCACCGTCGATTCTCCGTAGTATGCCTCAACAACGCGAATTACATAACGGCACACTGCAGCCGAGTTCGCTGGGGCAAGCCGCTCGGCCAAGAGCAACTTCTCGATCAAAGCCAGTTTTGAAAACTTAGCGGGGTTCACAAAGTACGTCTGGAGAACGGACTGTGCATCCAGCAAGTACCAATCCACGAAATCCTTGACAAACTTGGACTGCACAATCGGCAGGACTACCGCGTCGAAAAACGGTTTGTCCTTTTTGTACAAAAACACGTTGAGTTCATTCGATGCGTCTTGACTGTAGATTGCTTGCTTGGTAGCGAGGTCCAGTGACGGCCACATTTTAATATATTCATTGTACAGCATGTTGTGGTCTGTCAGAGCGTCCAGTAGACCAAACGCATGCTCGAGAGAGTCATACACCTCAATCTTGCTGGTAGGACCGCAAGGCAACGTTGTCGTATGGCTTGTAGGAATGCAGCGATGTCCACGAACTTGAATGGAATGGACTCCTTTAGAAACTCCCAAGGCAGATTCACGTGACAGTGCAGTGTTCTTCAGAGTGATTGTCCATGGTAGAGCGTTAGAATTTTGCGTACCAAACGAGGTGCATTGTTGGCGAGTGTCAACTGTGTGATCGTCAACAAGTGACACAATCAGATCGTACGAGCCTGACAACGTCGTCGGTAACATCACAGTCGCTTCGCCGAGCACATCAAGCCGAATATTGGACTGAACAAAGGAGGTGGTATCCAGAAAAAGGGTGTTGGGAGGCATTGAACATTCCTTGGTAAGTACTCGCCTTCCACTGGAATGCTGCGCGAATGCATCAAGTCTTTCCAGTCTTGATCTGTCGGCCTCTCGACACTTGCCATACTCTTCACCTTGCTTTGCGTCAGCCAGAGTCGCTTCGACTGTCTTTTGGGCCTTGAATGGATTCAGAAGTAGCGACGCTGCCGCTAATCGATTTCCTTGCAACAACTTGGAGTTTGGGTGTTGGTTAGCAAACGCACGTCGCTCCAAAATGTATGCGTACTCATCTCCGATGCGCTTGCTCTCAAAGTACTCGCTTTGAGGTGCGTCCATCTTGTGCTTTCGAATAGTTTGGTCGTCGTTCATGTCTTGCTTCAGTACGTTACTGAGCGGCACGTGGCTGACGAACCGTCTCAAGATCACCTGAGCTCGTGTTTGAGGTGTCGCGTTCACACCAAAAATCTTGAGCTGTCGATCCACCACGTGCAAGTTCCGAATCATCACGGGGGATGTCCGATCAGCTTTTAACAGTGCACCTCCTTGCGCTTTGACAAAACCAGCAATCTCAGACTCGCCCACCGTGATCCGATACGCGGCATGTATTGGCTTCACAACGACGTCAAACTCGCCCACTGTCAACGGCTTGAAAATCAAACTCGACCCTGGCCCAACGGATAGATACACTTGACTGTCAATGCGTTGCTGGATTCGACGTGATTTCACCGTGTAGATCTTGAACACTGTGACAGCTTGGTTTTGAATCCAAGGACCCAAATCCTCTCCAATGCCATGGGGCACCGGAATCAGCACATTCTTGAGAGACATAGCACACTGTATCTCTCGAACGTCGCCGTCATCCGTCCAGTTGGGTAGGTTCCACGAGTGTTGTCGATCGTTCACGTCAATATGAATGGACTTAACGTGTCTCAGCCCGCCCAACGAGATTATTCCAAGTTCGTTCGACACCAAGGTCTGACTTATCGGTGTTTCGAACGCCAAGTGGTGGAGACGGACCTGCGTTTCCACATTTGGCACCCCTTCACCATTGTGGCCCAACATAAGCACGATGTATTCGTCGCCACTCCCGCCTTGGATTGTCTTGAGGTACGGATTGAATAGAGTGTCGTCACGTGTTGGGTGGGGGATGTCAAAGTGCTTCCAGTCAGAAACCTGGCAGAGCCTCGTCGCCCGGGCAGTCGATGTCGATTTGTCCACAGAATGCAGAGAGGCTACTTCGCCCTTGAACGTGACCTTGAACGATACAGCTTCGGGGGGAATGTCAATTGAAGTCGTCAGGTCAGTCGAATCATTGGGCAGAGTCAAATTTCGAAATTCCTTCTTGGTTTGGATGTTGGTTTCGCTCGTGAACTCCACCGACAAGATCACACTCTTGAGCAAGGACAATGACGTCGGACAACCGTTGACGTACAGTTTGCTTCGAATGAGCACGTTAGCTTTCGTCCCTACTCTCAAGGTGGCGTTGAATTGCGTACAAGCTCAATAGCAAAGTGGTCGCACCAGGAACCAATTGCTCACTGTCGATGTGGATATTCGCCTTCACCTTGTAACTCTCCTCGCAATAGTCCAACGTCCCAAGTGTTCCAAACGTCCCATGGCCAATGAAAATTGGAGTCGACTTGCGGACTGGATCTTCCCATGATGTGTCGACCGCCGTGAAAAACGGAATAATAATGCGCCCATCGGGGGACGCAGCGTACGAGTGTTGCTTCGACTTGTCTAGGACATCGGGCATGGCGGCAACGCAATCCAAAATCACTCGACTCTCCTCATCGAACACGACTAATTCGTGTCCTTTGGCAGTCACTTCTTGTGTAAAGCGAAGGAATCCCTTGCGCACGACTGCTCGGCACGCGGTGTTTTGGCCCACCACTTCCACCACAAACACGCCACGACGAGACAATTGCATCGATGGAAACTCGACGCGGTGTTGGACTCGAACATGGCTTGGAACGTGGTCGAACCGCACTCTCATCTCTTCGTTGGGGAGGAGGCCATCCAGTGAAATGTCGCCCTTGATCGGACGAAAGGTCTTGAGAAAGTGGTCGCTCAAGTTGATTTCAAACAGTTGGATCGTCAATGCTTCAATATTCTTCACGTTTAGAACGAGAGACACAGGGTCGTCAGGTCCAATCAAATACGGATTGGATTTGCAGAACGACACTTCCGACCCGTGGAACAACTCGTGGAGATCGTGTTGGTCGACAATATCATTCTCGTACTCCGCACGACTCCCCCGTCCAGACATCAGCATGGCCATGGCGTATTGGACTTTCAAGTACGGCAAACTCAAGAACGGCGAATAGTCGTGGACCGTCGCCCCACGCAGCACAAGGATTGACAGCACCGTTTTGATCAAGTCCTAATTTGTGATGAGACGGACGGATGCGACCACCGACAAGGGGTAATACCTCGTCCGAGGAAGAAGTTAGGTTGTAGCTCAACTCTTGTGCTAGACGTGGTACAAGGGATTTGCCGGACGACTTCTCACTGAACGATCCGAACGCTGAGTTGGAGAGGTTGTCAAATCGGACGACACTATTATAGTCAGCGTTGCGCACCGTCTCTTCGTTGGCAATGCGACATCCTTCTCGAGGAATTTCGATGTACTGCAAGAACAAACTCCTCAATATTGTTTCGTTGTCCGCCTTGTGAAGAACGAGCTGGATCCATCGATGCAGAAGCACCACACGAACGCCATTGAGGTGAGGTCCAAATCGCTTTAGCCACGTCAGCGCCGTCGTCAAGAATTCCACTTCGTTGTCACTTGTTGACGCAGATTGCAACATTTGGACATACTGCAGCGCAAAGGACTCGCTGTCTTGCAACTCACGGGAGCACCGTTCCCACAACACATCCATTTGACATAGGTTTAGATTTTTGTGATGGGAGAAGGAACCAAAAACGCCAACCTTGTCGCTGTTGTCATCTGGATTCTTGATTCCAGCCAAAATTCCTTTTGCCACGACTTCCACATATCTACATCTCTTGGTGAGTGCTAGGATCAATGAATATAAGACAGAAATACGCGTCAAAGTCGGTCCACTTGAGTAAATCTTGGGCCAAAATGAACTCGAGAATTAGTTGCATCTGCTCGGGAGTCCATGCGGGTAAACTTGACGCGGCTAGAGACTCGAAAAAGCCTTGTAGCTCGTATGCGCTCCATTCACGAAGCGAAGAAGCCACGCTGTACGGAACCATCCACTTGGAGCCATCAAGATACAAACTTTCTTTCACGTGTTTGATTTTTTCTTCCTTGATTGATTCAACGTCGTAACTACATTCATGGTTTGAACAAGACTTGACAGAATAATGTATACCTCAATGTGTTAGGTTTGACAGCTTCGAGACTTCCCACAGTGGACACCGTTGCATCAGTGGGCCGTGGCGCATTTAATTCCAATCCTAAGTTTTCCACAAAAAAGGTGCGTGCACGTTCGTGTCCCTTGTCGAGTAAAATCACATTGAGTCGCAAACGAAGGCGTTGTGCACGATGCCACCCACCCCCTGTCTCAAGTGCATGGATGTTGCTAAGGATTTCCTCGATCTTGACGTCGGGATCGGTGTCCGTCGCATTCAAATCATGTAGAAGTTGAATCGAATGAAAGTAGCGATACTCCGCCGACTCCAGGGACAACGAAGAAAGTACACTCTCACGGTCGGGCGACAATAGCAGCGTTTCCTCCAATAGCACAGCCTCATCGTTCGTCGCACCCTCAAGTTCGATCGTGCCGCGAGAGCTGTCATCTCCTGACGCATTGACTTGGGATAGGATCTTTCGAGGCGCCATCCCGCCCGTGGACTTGCGCGCTGTTTGCTTGGTTCTAGCCATGCCTGTCGCGTTTCTTCCCCAATGTGATTGTGAAAGTGCGGGAATTTCCCCTGGGACACTTCAAATCTTTTCCGATGTGAAATTCCACTAAAATCGTGTGTTTTTGTATCATGAAGTCATTGAAGTCTACAATCAATCCTCATTTTAACCATCAAGTCAAAATATATAGTTGCACAAGTGTCAAAATACTATTCGAGGAGATTCCTTCAAATTCCGGATAGCTCGTTACGTATGGCCACTGTGTGCATTCGCAGGTGATGGCCTGGGCAACGACCGAGAAAGTATGTGTGACTGCCCCTGCTGTCACATGAAGCAGCTTGTACATAAAGGAAAGTGATGCCCCCCCAGCACGTGCGTCGATGCTGTTGAATCGCAGTCGTGCAGATATATATTGTAGGGTTCGGACCAATGGTCGCGTACGAGGCCCTCGACGTTCAGGTCACATGCCAATTTTTGGAACGCTCCATACTCCCTAATTGTAGATCCATCTATACACCTACCCGACGCCACTGCACCTTCGAAGTGCATGCTCACAAGATGTTGACAAATACAACATTTGAACTTGGGGTCTAGATTCGATCTCCCGTTTGCCGCACTTCGCTCACACAGACACTATGCTGGTGTTCCTGCAAGTATCGAACTATTGCCAAGTGACCTTTTGCCTCTGCCGTCGTCAGTGCGTACGCGGTGCATCCTTCCACCCGATATTCGTGCAGGAACTGAAGGACATCCAGGTGGCCATGGGCTGCTGCATAGTCCATCGCTCGCGTTGTGCATCCCTCCGTTCGATGGTGATGCAGGAAGCGAACGACGTCCAAATGACCATTTGATGCAGCGTCGTCCATTGCGTCCTTGGTACAGCGCATGTTCGTATGGGCATGCAACTGCTTGACCAAGGCGAGGTTGCCTGCCGATGCAGCTTTGTCCAACGCGCGGGCATCGTCTAGATCGAACACAGTGAGGCGCCAGGGCAGCGTCGTTTCAGGCTCTCGCTGATGCGGGTTGAGGTGTAGTTCACCTAGACGGTCGAAGACTAATGCCCCGGCGATGTATGTTTGGACAACATGGAGGTCTTCAGTAAGAAGCACAAAGTCAGCGTCTGCGCCAAATTCCAAGGACCCTTTAGTGGTCAGTCCAAGCGCTCGAGCAGGATTTGTGGACGCAGCCTGCAATGCGTACTCGGCGGAGCAGCCGGTGTACTGGCGCAGAGTGCGCAAGCACGTGTCCATTTGCACGACGCTGCCTGCGATTGTCTGGGTGTTGTGCAAGTACGCTCGGCCGCCTTGCACGTCGACGGGGAGGTCGGCAAGGACATATGACCCATCGGGGAGGCCCATACCAGCCATGCAATCTGTGACGAGAACGAGACCATCCGGGTGACTGGCTTGGGCAATTCGACAGGAAGTAGCATGCGCATGGATGCCGTCGAGGATTAGGCCGTACGATGGGCGGGGACACTCGGTGGCACCTAGGAGCCCCACAAGGCCAGGGTCGCGATGATGGAAAGGCACCATCGCATTGAAGAGATGTCTAGATGTACAAGATCAGCGTGCTGCATCAATCAGTGTGACTTACGTGAGCATCGAAATCCCAGCAACAACACCAGTGACGGCCTCTTGAATGTTTGCCGACGAATGACCAGCGCATGCGACGATTCCTCGCTCGACCAACTGGGATATTGCCAATGGTGCGCCCTTCAGCTCAGGGGCCAACGTTACCAGCGCCACGTTATCGTGACTCAATGGACCATACACTGCTTCCAACGACGGCATCCCGTTCACAGGATCCAGCAGCACTTCTTCCTTGTGCGCACCTTTTCTTTGACGGTTGATGAATGGACCTTCCAAGTGCAGTCCCACCATATTGGCGCCTTGCACGATGTGGCCGTCGGTCGTGCGTTTGAATTTTGGCAACACTCGGGCATACGTTGCGGGTGTTGAAGAGATCACCGTGGGGCAAAACGACGTGACCCCCGTGGCAACGAGCCGTCGTCGAACCTCTAACACGTCGTTTTCCGTGCATCTTACGTCACTGAAATCGTGTCCATAGGCACCATTGAGCTGGATGTCAACGAATCCAGGGGCAAGGATGAGTCCTCGCCCGTCCACAACTTCACCGGGACCATACTCAGCGGCGGATTGACTTCGCCAGTATCGTGCTTGCGGGTCAGCGACCTTCCCGTTTTCAACCCATAGAAATGTGTTGGTCAGCTTGCCACCCCGCAGCAGTCGGACATTTGTGACCTTGAGCGTCTTGTCCTTCATTGCATGAATTGTGTGCGCTTGAAGATACAATTCCGGATAACTGGTTTGAAAATTATCCGGGAATCCACAGATACCTTTATCATCTGGCAGAACCCCACCAACATGCGCTTGATCATCGAGAAAGATGCCAACGCCGTCGCTGAATGGGTCGCTGCGTATGTGGTGAAGCGCATTAAAAAATTCAATCCCACGCCGGAGAGGCCGTTTGTCTTGGGTATGTCCACGACAGAGTGTTGAGCGGATTCAGCTCGTGGCAATGCACTTAGGTTGCCCAACGGGTAGTTCACCGTTGCCGACGTACAAGCGACTGGTACAATATCACAACGAACGTATTTTGAGTTTCGAAAACGTGGTCACGTTCAACATGGACGAGTACGTCAACCTACCAAGGGACCACCCAGAGAGCTACCATACCTATATGTGGACGAACTTTTTTCAACACATTGATATCAAGCGTGAAAACGTGCACATTTTGGACGGCAATGCGCCAGATTTGGAAGAGGAATGCAAACTGTACGAAGAGAAAATTGCGTCCTTTGGCGGTATCGAGCTATTCTTGGGGGGCATTGGTCCCGATGGCCATATTGCCTTCAACGAGCCTGGTTCGTCACTGTCGTCCCGCACACGTGTGAAGACGCTGGTATGTTTTGTTTATTATTTCCCTGTCAATGACATCGAATCAACGGCAATGCACAGGCGTACGATACGATTGTCGCGAACTCGCGCTTCTTTGGGGGCGATATGAACCTCGTGCCCAAGATGGCGCTTACCGTGGGCGTGGCCACGGTCATGGATGCGCGTGAGGTGCTCATTATCATCACGGGTCACTCGAAAGCGTATGCGTTGTATAAATGCATCGAAGAAGGCGTCAACCACATGTGGACGGTGTCTGCGATTCAAAACCACAACAAGGCCGCGATCGGTACGTAATGCTGCTAGCTTGGTCGCTCTCTGCTATCGTGTCGTACGTCTAGTGTGCGATGAAGACGCAACCTTAGAGCTCAAGGTGAAGACGGTCAAGTACTTCAAAGGGCTCCACGAGACGAACATGAGGATGCTTGCGAAGTGAGCATTTTCGACATGGTTTACAACTAGTAGTTACTAGTAGTAGGATCTCTGGATGTGGGGCAAACCCTAACTTTTTCTGGTTATTTTACACGATTTCGTTGTGTAAAATTGGTAAAATCCGAAATTGATTGGGAAAAACCATGAAACTAGGCCATTTTGGTCCTAATCGTACAACTCCCCGCGGCTGGCCAAGCCACATCAAGCGAATCGGGGATGGAGAAACCAACCGAGGCGACGGCGGCGCGCCGTGACGAGAAAACACGTGACTCTCACTCGCATGGGGAGAAGAAACGCAGTCGAGAGGACGAAAAGAAACTTAACGATATGGAGCGACGTAAGATTCAAAAGTACAAGGAGGACAAGCTCAAGGAACGCAAGGACCACACACGCCGCGTGCTTGAACAACAGGCACAAGAGAAGCGCCGCGATCTCTTGGGACGACAGTCCGAGTTCATTGGGACTTTGGAGTTCCGCAACCAGCTGCCAGATTTGCCATTCGATGCCAAGTTTATCCAGTATGCCCACGACCCTGATCGGTTTGTCAAGTACAAGCCGTCACTCGTCGAGCGCGATTACGTCCATGAGTTTTACGTTGAGCCGAACCTGGGCCTGCCAATTGACCTTATCGATCCTGAGAAGTTCGAAGTGCCCGACGTGTCGGAGCGCGCCATGACCAACGTCGACATCGAGCTGCTCAACATGCCGGAAGTCATCAGCGGGTCGTCCGCGGCCAAGGCCAAGATCCGGCCGCACGTACCGTGGTTGCGACGCTCGGAATTCATGGGGACCGATCTCAGTGAGGCCGTGCATCAGGTAACGGAATGTGTGCTTCGCTCACGATCTCCTTCACCGCTCCACCCAACTAGTTTAAAAACGAGAGCGAGTTGCAAGTCGAAATCCGCGACAAGAACCAGGCAATGTTGTCCGTCATCATGCAAAAGGATCTCGAACAGCGTGCGAACGAGTCGTTCGACCTGTGTCCGCCCGCCAACAAGATTGTATGCGACTCATTCCCTCGACCGTCGGCCTCTCAATCGGGTTTGTCTAGGTGCACCCGCTCAAGGCGGACCTCAAACCTGTCCAAGTGTGGGACGTCTTTCCCGACGAAATTTTATCGAGCAATATTTATTCCATTTTGGTCGGTACCAATGGACCATTCCATCATCGAGATATCTGACGAATCGTGCTAGTCGTACGATATCTTGCCGTCGTCCGAAACCAAGCACGACCCAGCGATCTTTGACCGCGAGTCGCACGCGCTGCTCCGCAATGTCGTGACAGTATCCCAGCCGAACGCGAGCGACGTGCTTCTTGGTTCGATCTTGTTCCCGTCCAACGGGAACAAAGCACTGGAGGAATCGAAAACCAACGACTCGGGCGACGACGGGGCGGGCGAAAAGTTTAAATTCTTTCGCGATTACGTCCTCAGCATCAATCATGTATGCCAACCTGACCATGCCTTGCTCCCCCTGTGCCTCAACCGTTCCGGTATAGTTTCCGAGTGACGTGCAGCAGTTGATGCTGATGATCAACCCCGACTCGTCCACGGCTACGTACGCAAGCCTTAGCACCAACATTGCGCTCAAGAAGACAAAGGTAGGACCCCGTGGCGCCGATCGTGTTTGTGCGTCCTTCATGTTGCCGTGTAGATTGGGGGAGATGCCAAGCGCCGACGGGGGGCGGTTGTTCACCGTCGTCCGTACAACGAAGCCGAAGAAGAAAAGCGCACAGAGAGCTTGCTCACCGTTGGTACGTTGGACATTCGAGTGATTCGATGCATCATGTTTATGTCGTTTAGGTGGCATTTACGACGAACGGTTGAATGGGATGGTGGGCCACGGTGGAAGCCTGGTAAAGAACGCAGGCGACGATATCGGGAGCCCCGATGTGAGCGACGAAGACAGCGAGTAAGCCAACTAGACAAGGATCGTCCTGTGTGCATGACGAATCCACCAACACATGAGGGCGACGCTCGTGAGCTCCGTGGCACCAGTTCCTTCGACCAACATACTGGCATACAGCGACACGGTCAGAGCCACTGCGTTGTTCGTGTAAACGGTGCTCAAAACAAGTTGATGTCGTCGACGTCAGTGGTTTTCAACTCTTAAGAGTACTGTCGATGTTGGCCAAAACGGCTACGGACGAGTTTGCACTTGTGGTAGTAGTCCTGCGAGAAACCTCGAGCGTCAGAGCAAACACGGACACAGCTAGACAGGAGCCAGACGTACCACATATTCGTCCTTGGTCATGCGGTCGATGTCGGCCTCCGTCACGTCAAGCAGGTCTTGCTTGAGCCCTTGAACCGTGACAAATTCATTCACATAATGTGGATCGACAAACTCTTCTTGGCTCGTGGTGCAGTCCTCCCAGTCCTGCACATACCCGAAACGGATGAATGGAGACATTTGCCAGGCTCGATGCTACTCCCACCATGTCCAGGCCATCGTCGTCATCGAGGCCCCCATCGTTCCACACCCCGTTGTGTCCTGTGTGGTCGTCCAAAACAATCTCGGCCTTCATGGCGTCCTGTTCGTCGCCGTCATCATCTCGATCGTGGAAGCGATCTGTCGGCTCGTCTTTGATATGCGCCGCTTGACCATACGGTGTCGGCGGCGGTGGCATGTTGTTTTGTTTGTACTTGGAAGCCATTTCATTGCTCATCTTGCTGCCTTGTAAGTGCACTGGCATCTCTTTCACTGCCGCCGTGGGTTCCAGCTTGACTTCATTGCGCTAACGCATGAACCAGGCCGTTTTTTACGGATCCATACAATTGGAGCTCGACGCACCGGTTTGTTCTCGGTGGATATCGAGACAACCACTTCCGGCGCCTACAACAACCACGTTCGGATGCATAACGTCCACGGATTGTAAAAACGTAAGGTAAGATGGACACAGCCGCTATGATCGCGCGAGCTTCTCAAAGGACGTACTCTGTTCCCGTACAGCAGCGATGTTTGCGGCTCGTTGGCTCGACTGCCTCCTCCACCGCCACCCCCGCCACCTCCACCGCCCCCTCGACCCGCAGGGACACGAACACTGTCACCTCCTCGGCCTGCCGCTCGGTTTTCGCTCGGCAAGTTTCTAAACGACCGACGATGCGTGACCAACTATCAAGAGAATGCAACTTGTGCAGTGGTACGATGGAAGCGCTTGACCAGAGTTGAGAAATTCTTGAATTTTCTTGAGACATTCGTTGATGCTTTCGTGGAGGTCTTCCGCTCGATTTACTTGTGCCATGTACTGTTGGAGCCATCCGTTGTGCCGTCAATGGCAGTCCTGGCCTCTGTTCCCACGTAGCGACATACCTTTTTCAGCAAACTCTGCGCACTTTGGAGCCGCTCGTTGTTGTCGCACTACCGACTCAACGATCAATTTGATTCCAGGGTTGCTAGGGGTTAACGCGTCAAGTTGAAAAGCCGATGGCACACCTCGATCAGTTTGGAGTTACAATGGCCGCAATAAAACTCGTGAATTTCTGCTGTCACGAGTTTTTGCGCTTCCAACGCCGTGTACTCGCGGCCGCAATCGTCGTTGTCGCAGCGATACGTTTGCCGTTCGATTTCCAACGACTCAGCTTCGGTCAAGTATGTCCGAATGAGGTACAGCCGGTACCTCACCACGTCGACAAAGTACTTATAGTCGATGTACCTGCACCGCCGTCATGAGAACTCTACATGACTGAGACCATTGAACCCACCAGTACGTGGCTTTTGAGGCGCCGCCCAATTTTTTGTCGTTGAGTTCCTCCCTAGTCATGCAACGCGGGGACATCCATTGACGTGGCGGATATCAAGCCTTACATACCGTGACACAAGATGGTCGGCTTCGAGGTCATGGCATATCTTGCGCACTTGCTTTGTCTGCAAGTTCACTGCGTTCCCCATTTCATCGTCCTAAGGGTCGTTCATGCCTTTATGGTTCCATGCAGTAGAAAACGCTCGGGTGCGCACCTTGAGATACTTTTCTCGAATCAATGCCTCCAGGACGACAATGTGTTCATCTGCATAGAATGCCCTACGTGGCCATCGTCCCGCCTTTCAATACACTACACACATCTATCTCCACTCGTTGGAGGCAGACTTACCGGCCGACAATCCGGACCAAGTTCTCCACGGCCTGCGCCATCGCTGGCGTCTGGTTTGGATTGGGCGACTAGAATCAAGCAAAAACAACACGTCTTTTTAATAAACGTGTGTTTATTACATTTGATGAAAACTTGTTCATTCTCTGCAAAATTTGTGAATTTCACCAATTGCACAATCGAATACTTATCGAATGCAAAACGATATTTGCCCGACCGTCACATTCCCCGCAATAGGATCTCGCGGAAAGGAGCGCCACGGCGGAGTGCATCGATCCGAGTGAACTCGAGATGCATCAACTCTGCGAGGATTGCTGGATCGGGGTTGTGTTGAAGCGGTCGTTCATTGAAGCGCACGAAAGGCTCAGAGGACTCGATTTCATGCACGTCGATGTGAAAGGCATGACAAAGAAGCGCCACGTCGTCAATACAGGTAAGACCAACGATTCGCACGAGATCGGAGAGGGGGAACTTATCTTGCTTTGTGAATGCCTTCGACAGGACGATGAGGTGTTGATGGTATTGGTCCGCGAGACGACCGAAGAGAATAGCGCGATGCAAGATATGTTCCGAGTTTCCACGGCGAGTATTCGAGCGAAACCATGACCAAAGTGCTTGAGCGTTGGCCGAGCGAATGTACACGTCGCGAAGGGTCAGGGAAAACGAGGCGCTATCCATGAGGACGAGGAGATAGTATTGCTCGAATTCGAGCGACGATACTTTGAGTTGGGCCAGGATCGAGTGCATTTGCTCTTCTAGCAAGTGTTTCAGAGATGCAAATGACACAGACCGCCCGTCCAGGTTTTTTGAAGTACTGTGTCGCAATATGCATTGGGCGAGGAGGTAGAACCGGGCGATTGGTTGGAGTATGGCGGGCGGGGCGTCTTCCTGCAGGACCAAGTCGGTACGAATGGCGCGAAAGCGATCGTCTAAAAAGTGGTACAAGTCTAGAGGTAGCTCTAGCTCCGATGGCAAAAGCGACAACAAATGGTGCGTCGTTTCTAGCAGCACTGGCACAGGGCGGACATCGGCAGGGTCGATCATGGTTCCTGCAGCAGAGCGGCGATACCTCTTCACCGGGCATCCATACGGTGGTCGCTCGTACTTCCTACACACCCATGACATGAGCGATGCTTCAAACATACTCCATTTCATCCGTACGAAAGCTCATGATTCTCCGACCGCTCCTGGGCTTCCAGGGCCGGGCACATGCGTACGCAACATCCTCGCATCCTGGATGCCACAATGGGAACTAGGCGCGACATCCGGATATTCCGGTTACAGATAGCCATGATTGGCCACGCATTGAGAATGTTGGTGTATTCCAAAGTATTGTCAAACTCCCCAGATCCCGTTTAGCACATGACCGACTTGTACGTGAACGACACCAGCCGCGTGTGCAGCCAGCCTGTGCAGGTAACGCCCCCGTGCTGCCACGGTGTTGCTGTTGACGCGTCGTGTGTGGGCCCATGTAGGTCGTTGGCGTTGCCCGCGAATCGGCGCTTGCCTGGTCTGTTAACGGCAACCGCTTGGCATTTGTCTCGGGCAACAGCGCCATCTTTATCGCAGGTCACGATGACAAGCGCGGTGTGACCCTCGAGAAAGTGATTCCTCTGTTCAAGAAAGATGTGAATGGCCTTCTCTTCTCCCCCGACAACGAAGATATGCTAGTGGTCGTCGGGCACGAGGGCATTTCGTTTGTTGACGTGGCGGCCGGCGACTTTGTGTTTCGCGTTCCCATCGGCAAAGAAAACAACCACGAAAGCGATGTTACGTGCGCGACGTGGCTTTACGGTGGCTCCCTCTTGGCCACCGGGTCCAAAGACGCAACCATCAAGATCTGGATTCGCGACGCAACGCACACCCACGAGTGGACATGCTTGGAAACGATCACAGGCCACAAGGCGCCGCTCATGGCGCTCGAATTCAACTTGTTCACGAACTCGTTGTTCTCGTGTGGTCGGGACAGCTCCATCAAGCACTGGGACGTTCGCACTTTGCATCCGTCGTCGATTGCAAAACGACGCGACGATGGCAGCATTGCGTGCTCAATCGTATCTTCCATGGACGGCCACCAAGGCGACGTGATTGCGCTGACTGCGACCGCCAACGGGAAATACCTCTTTTCTGGTGCCCGAGACAACAGGTTCGTCGGCCGTCATGTGTCACGACACTTATCGCTTGATGTAGCATCAAGGTGTGGCACGTTGGCCAGCATCGGGAACTTCGCACGATTACAGGCCATGCCGGTGATGTCCGCCGCATGATCCTCATGGCCCACGACGAGTATATGTACTCGGCGTCCGTGGACGGCACGGTCCGTTTGGTCAAACTGATGCAGCTCGACGTGGACGACGATCGTGTGTTGTCTGCTGAAGATTTGGAGCGTGATCGCGAAGCGGCAGATAAGTTGGCACTGGAGGAAATCCTTGGATTGGGCAACAAGACGACCCCGCCGTCGGGGGTCGCGGTTGGCCTCTCAACTGAAACGGACCAAGTGCTCGCGTCGATTTCCGCGCACGAACAGAACGTATTTCGCATGGAGGTGAACCCGGTGAAGCCCCTCATGGCAACCTCAGGGAACCACGAGATTCATGTTTGGGACATCTCAAACTTGGCCAAGCCGGTACGCGTGAACGAGTTTATCGGGCATACGAACGGCGTAACCCAAGTCCACCTCGTCCGCGATGACCAGCACCTCATCAGCGGCTCCCTCGACGGCCGTATCCACCTGTACAACGTTGACACGCTGTATCGCGAGTCCAAACTCGACGTGATCGGCGCTGTGGGTGCGACGGCTCTCTCTCCCGACTCCCGCGTGCTGTTTTGCTCCGGCAATGACTACGACATCCGAGGCTACTTGACGCACGATAACTTGCTTGTGTCGCAGTGCGTGGTGGAATTGACCGGCCATTGCGGCAAAGTGTACTGCCTCGCCATCTCACCGGACGGGTCCATCCTCGTTAGTGGCGCCCACGATTACAGGTAAGTTGGTGACAGCATTGGCCTTCTGTGCTGCATGAAGTGATGCTCTCCGGTAGCTTGTGCGTGTGGTCCTTAAACCAATTCACACAAACGTACCAAGGGGCGAGCGCGCCCCTGCTGGCGGGCGAAGAAGAGATCAAGTCCTTGACCCCGGCCAAGCGCATCGGGAGCCCTCACGAAGGCCACGTGTTCGCCTTGGCCTTCAGTTCGCCGATGTCGGGCGGAGAGCATCCCCGCCTCGCCTCGTGCGGCAACGACCACTCGATCAAGATCTGGCGCTTGACTGGCAAGTCATTGTCGGAAGTCGCCCATCTCCGCGATGCCCATTCCAGCGCCGTGAATTGCCTGGCATGGGGGCGACACTCGTCAAGCACGCTGCTCTTTTCCGGAGGTTGGGACCAAACGATCAAAGTCTGGGACCTCGCTGATACTTCCCGTGCGCCGACTGGCCCTGTGGGCACACTGCAAGGTCACAAGGGTATGTGTTGATGTGCTGCCACCCTCGTCCACTTTTCATCTCATGGTTGCATTTGTAGGGCGCCTCTCCAAGCTGTGCGTGTCGAACGACGGCAAGGTGCTCGTATCGACGTCCGCAGATGGAGTGGCCATGTTGTGGCAAGCCACGGCGCCATTCCAGCTCTTGTGCACGTATGTCGGCACAGACGACGGTGGCGTGACCAGCTTGGCGATGGGCCAGAATATCTTTGCCACGGGGTACGACGACGGCATGATCAAGGTGTGGCCTCTCTTGGGCAGCGATGGATCCGTGCACGAAGACTACGCGTCTTTGTTTCTGACGCAGGAAGAGGTCGCACGTCTGAGCAAAGAGTCTGCCGCCAAAGAAAGGAACTTGTCCATGATGCAACAGCGCAAGAAGTCGGGCTTTCTCCCCAATTCGGAAGCTCCGCAACTACTCTAACGCCACTGGCGTAACTTGTCGCCCACTATATCTTGAATACACGCTTGGTTAAAATGATAAGGCCTAGATGAAGGTGCTACTTCGGACCTCTCTTCCGTCGTTTGTAGGAGTTCCAGACGCGAATGAAGCAATCAACGCAGTCGACAATCAGGATGGAGGCTCCGACACGTTGTCGCAATGGATCACCAAGATCCTCCAATCCCCGTGAGACTGCCTCCAAACGTTATAAGCTCTGTTCGAATTGCCATCGGCGATGACGTCAAGAAGGACGGGCTCGACCAGCGTTGCCCTCTGCATCATTCGTGAACGACCGGACAGAAGTGTTTCCCCATGAGTTCGTGCGAGAGACAGTTGTTAAGACTACACGCATGGTCGTTCCATGTGTGGTCAGAGCCCTTTTGCGAGCGTGACAAAGCTGAGTGGAGGCAAAGACATCGTTCCAGCCAGGAGCTTTGCATTCACGACCCCCATCTGTAGGCATTGTGACTCCATTGTCCGAGATTGTCGTGTGACCGGATATCGTTTTGGCATTTATCCGGATACGATCTTCCTCGCACATTTCAACTTAACGATGAATAACGTCGCCACCGCTCCATCCACGGCGTCGTACGAGTCCAAGAAATCGAGCCTCAAGTGGCGAGTAGATGTCGTGCTCCACACGAACCAGCACGCTAACGTCCACGAGCCAAAGGCTTTGGTGGAATTGAATCCGCGTGAGGTATGGACGACCCACGGAGGCACTGTTCTCCACTTGTCTCTTGTCCAGGTGAGCGGAGAAGCCTTTCGGTTGCAACTATCCCGCACACAGGTGACGCAAGTGCTTAACGAATTTGAGAAGATTCAACAGTTAATGGAAGCCCGTCAAACCCCACACGCTGCTGCGCAGGGGGGCGGGATGGGGCTCGCCTGAGGACCTGTGTGCAAAAAGGTCTGAAGGGGGTGGAGCGCCTTCCTGCTGTACAATGTGCTTAACACATATTGCTATTGTGTCTCGTGTTCAGTCTGAGGCATTCCACGACGTTTCCTGAACTGTACGAGGTAAGCTCATGGCTCCGAGTTTGACTCGAACGGGGCGACCTCCTACGACGTGATGGTGATGGCAGCGTTGCAAAGCAAGTACAGCGTCAAGAGGATGGCGCCGTCGCCTTTAGTGAGACCAATGAAGTTGTCCTTCGGATTGGCGTCGTAGAGGCAAAACACACTGCGAAAGTTGAAATTCAACAGCAAGTAGGACCCGATCACGACAGCCAGCGACTTCCACAGCATGATCTCATTCTCGTACGCCATGTTGACCTGCACAAGGACATGTCAGACGTGCCGATCCCTCCTCTCAACGGTGGCGTTGTACCGATCCGTAGTAGAACGTTGAGATTGCTAGCGGAAGCCCCGACCCGAGCGACACATTGATCACTTGGGAACCGATGGCATTGCAGACAGCAGCGTCGGCATGGCCTGCACAGCTGTGAGGCATCCCTTCGACACGCGCGGCGGTCGACAAACCCACCTGCGCGAGCCAGTGACACGGACGCAATCGCGTCTGGAATTTGAGCGCCCAGGGCCAGCAACGTCACACCGGTCGTCGTCGTCGAGAGATGAAGATCGGCGCTGATTTTCCGCGTGCAATAGAGCACCCCCGCCGAGAAAACCGTGACATACGCCAACGACAGGACGATGGTGACAAAGTACAACGAGGAGTTGCTGTCGGGAAGTGTGAGCTTGAAGAGGGTGCGACATGGCACCGAGCACACGCGACCAAGTCTTTTCACAGCCTGGCAAACTCGCGCCCATGGTTCTACATCCCACACAGTAAATACACACACAAAAGTCGACCCGTCTTCGTACTGGGTGACGACGTCGGGTCTAGCGGCACGGGGTCGAAACTCGACGACCCGTAAGTCGGCGCAGCGTGGTCAGCTGGATCCAACAGCTTCGACAAGGACGTTGCGCTGGTTTCGTCTTTGAGCAGCACGCACGCGGTGTAGGTGGGGTTGAAATACACGGGCAGGTAGATCGCCATGAGATACACGACGTAAGTCAAGCACAGCATGGACGCTTCCCACACCGTGACGATCGAGTCTTGCATGAAACACACGAGTGCCATGAGACTCACAATGTACGCGATCGTGTCGCGGAGGAGAGGCGCCCACGACACAGCGAGAGGCTCGCACGTGGTGAACGCACACAGTGGTGGGATCAGGCCAAATGCTATCAAAGCCGATCCCTGGATGGCGGAGAGCGTTGTCTCCATCGACTTGAGTCAGTGTTCGCACGTCGCAACCGCGTTCAAAAGAATCTCTGGCGCGGCACTACCAAACGCCAGGAACGACGCGCCCGCTGCCTCCTCGGGAATATCGAGTTTCTCGCACAGAACTTCGATCGCAGGCACCAAGTGGTCGTCGGCTACGACAGCTAGACCGGTGAAGAGGAAACAGAGCGCCACAAGCGACAACGAAACGTTCACGGCCGTGTGGCCAGGGGATGCCATGTCGACCACGGCGGTGTGGTTACCATCGACCTGAGCACTGG